CTGGATGTTTTGTTTTATTTTGGAGGGTAGGTGGATATGTGTGGTACTGGGGATTGAACCCAGGGCCCTAGCACTAAGCGATATCCCCACCTCTCTTTTTAATTCATATTTTGAGATAGGTTCTCACTACATTGCTCGAGTTGGGTTCAGAATTGGAATAGTACTCCTGCCTCAGCCTCCTAGAGGGCTGGCATTACAGGGTTTTCATTTTCTGTAGTTGAGTGGCTCTCAGATTCTTTTTGGTGTTGGCGCATAAAAAGAAATTAATCTTATGTCTCCATTCAGTACACACATTTATATATTTATGTAACTAAAATTAGCTCCTCAGAATTGTTTGTATTCCATATGAGGCACTAGTATTTTCCGTTCAGTTATACTTCATTTTAGAAGGGAGGGAAGGTTAGGGGTGTAGCTCAATTGTAGAATGCTTACCTGCCCCTGGGTTTAATCCCCAGCACCAGAAAAACCAAAAATGCTTCTTATAAATCATTGTAGGGTTGAAACTCACAGTTTAAAGAATACTGCCTCAATACATAGCCACAGTATTGCACAGAGATGTTTTCTCTGAGAATCACCAGTGCCTTTTGATACCTTTTCCTATCCATTGCATAATTTTATGCATTAGATCTCAAATGGCCCCAAAACCTCAATTGTTGAGAAGGGAATTTGATTACAGGGCATGATAGCTGACTTGCTGTTAGGAAGCGGGGTCTGGTTGGAAGGGGCTGGTCGCTGTGAGTGTGACCCGAAACAGGTGTATCTGCCTTCCTTCTCCCTTGGCTCTCCGCTTCCTGGCTGCCATGAGAACGGCTTTTCCTCTGCCATGCCCCCCTGCCATGCAGTTTTCTTCTTTGGAGCCAGCCACTTGTGGGCTTAAACTTCTAAGAACATGAGCCAAAATAAACCTCTCATCCTGTAAGTTACAGTTGTCAGGTGTTTTGTCCCAGCAATAAGGAAATTGACTAAGACACCGGTTGTGGTTTATGGCCCCAGTGTGACCCTTGGGCACCCTCCCTGACTTCTGGTGCTTTCTTCCACTCCCAGTCCCCTGCCCTGGCTCTGAGCTTGGATGGGAAACTCAAAGCGTGCACTCACAGGTTGTGGGTGTGTAGTAACGTTCGGGTCCCAACCTGAATTGCAATTCCATCCCAAAGATCAAGAGTCTGTGTGGTCCCCTGAGTGGATGTGTCCTTCCGAAAATTGAATCTTGTTTATTCTGTGAGGGTGACTAAGTTTGGTGTCCACTCTGGTGCTGGCACTTCTGGCCACTGCAGATTCTGGGGGAAATGTTCAGTACAGTAATTGTCCTCAGGCCTCAGGTGGGTGACATTCATATACAGTAGCAGCATAGCTGTACGTAAATATGGTGTACCATGGTCTCCTTCTTTTTCATTTAAGAGGATATCATTGTGTTGAAAAGGAGGGAAGGGTGGCCTTGATAGTAATTAATCAGTATTTAGGGAGCAGTTTCTAAAAGAGATAGCATTTGACTTGTGTATGTATTTCACTTTTTCAGTAATGGAATATGGATTTTTGTTTTACGTTATATAAAATTTCAGAGGCTCCCTTGCATTTGTCATTATATTGAATAAATATGTGATGGCTCATTAGAAGGGATTATATGCCCTGGTTATGAACCTGTATGTTTTCACCCTAGAGAACAGTTTAACAACTAGGAAGTTGGAATTCACAGCCCTTTTCTGCTTTAAAAAGAAAGAAAGAAAAAAACCACAAAGAATGCCAGTATTCACTGTATGCATTGAGATTAATTTGGTTTTCCTAGTTAACATGAGCCTCAGTGGAAATAATTTCCTAATGTGGATGAATGAAAATTGATTTGACTAATGTGTCTCTGTAACATTGATTTAAATGTCAGTACTGTGACAATGGTGTCCTAAAAAAGTTGTAATGACCTCAGACACTGTGTCTGCAGGGCCCCAGGCAAGATCCTTCACACAATTGTCTGAGGTGACCCTTCCATGCTCCTTTGCCTCCTGTGATATAAGGGTCTCCAGGAGCTTCTCATCCCCTACTGTATCTCTTCTGCAATGTTGAAGACATTTGTAAAAATTGGAATAGTGGCCTTAACCTAAGTATCTTATGGCTTGTTCTTTCTGTAGTTTGGGCAGCAGTGGACATTTTGAAACCTAGGTCTCTCAGCCAAACACATCTCCCACCAACTGATGGAATGTTGGTTTAAGCCCTCTTACTTGGTCCCTGTGCTGTTTTGGACTTTATCCCTATTTTATTTAAAAACTAATTTTATTTCCATTTCCCTTGATACAAACCAATAAGAGCCTTTTGTTTCCTTTAATGGTGAAGTTCTTTTGTCATTGACTGTTTCAGAAGTTGTCTTTTCAGTGTGATGAGGAAATTGATAAGGTAGGATCAGGTTCACAGCTTCACAGTGCCTCTGGGAACTCAGTAAACTGTTTCCTTTGAGGAAAGGAGCAGGTGCAGTCAGAAGTAGTGTGAAAGATGACAGACCCAGCAAACACTTGAACAGAACCCCCTGAAGTCATTAGAATCTGTGCTGTCATTAGAATTTCTGCTCATCTCCACCCTTGAGAGCCAGCATACAAGGAGAAGCCTGAAACTAGTGCATTCCGTTTTCCTGCCACTTACAGAGATACCTGGAATGTGTGCCCAGTTAGGAACCTCAGTAGGTGAAACACAGCTTAGGTTTCCTATCAGTAAAGTGGGCACAGTAATTGCGCCTGCCTCCTGCGGTTGCTTCGGGGATTCGCTGCAGCTTTCACATAGAGCCTGACTAGGATGAGCGCCGTGGAAGCAGGTACTGTTCTAACTGGCTTTTTTGGGCACCTGTCCTTTATATATGGGCAGAGCTTAACTATTTTGTCAATTCAGAACTCCATCTCCCTAACAAAAACATATGGGCACACATGTTTTGTGAATTTTTGCCCAAATGCATTTTGATTCATGGGTAGTTTTATAGATATCAGGTTGTGAAATAGAGCTTTGAATAGTAATGTCTCCAGATGATTGCATCCTGTATCCTCCTTCATGTATTAGCAGTAGCAGGTGGATGATGAACATAGGGGTGGTGAACATAGGGAGAGGGGATAAGTGGCAATACCAACGTGCTTGAGTTAGGTAGACACTCAGTTTCTGGCTAATTTTCAATCGGTTTCCACTTCTTTTTGGATGGTATGGTTAACTGACATTTATTAAAGGTAGATAATAGGAAACATCTTTTGCTAATGAGAAGGAGACTGACAAATGGAGAGAGGGGAAGTAAAAATAATTAAGATGACCTGTAACATTACCAGTTCCTCATGAGGAATATAATCATTGCATACTTCAAAAATATACTAAAAATGATTTTAAAATTAAAAATTTTTTAAATAGAATGGCAATGAAATCAGCCAAGTAGAGAACAAATGATCAGGCTCCCTAACTCCTTGTGTGACTGTCACCTTTGTGAGTCACTGGGCAGTGGGGACTGTCTGCAAGCTGGGCAGCAAAACTGTCATCATTTTCTAGGCCTTCTGATGACTGCTGCTTCCAGGAGGACACTCAGAACTTGGTGACACTTTCCTTACACCCTTCATGAGGCATCCCTACGTTAGGTTGTGGCAGATAAAGCTGAGAAAATATAAGAACTGAAAATCTTACGAAGGAGTATGCATTTCTGGCCAGTGCTAACTTTAATTTTTCATTATCATTCATGCTTCATTTAGAAGAGATGGATGGCTTTCTAGTTATCAAATGTTTAAAACCTAAATGGAAATACCTAAGGTGAGAGGAAATCATTTCAGTAAATCTTGTCTGTTTTAACCTGCTGCTTCTCTAAATGGAAGAAGAAAAAGTTTTGTCAAGTACCTTTGGAAAGTAGTTTCTGTAAATTAGCATATTTCTCAGTGAACCAACAGAGTGAAAATAGGAGCCTAGGATTTGGAGTGATGAGATCTGGACTCTGGCTTATCTGCAGCTAGCTGTGGGTGAGTTTGATTACGTGTAAAGAACTTCGAGTGTTTGTGCATTGTGAGTGTGTGGGGGCAGCTGCATGCTTCATTGTGAGGGTGGTATTAGTCCACTCGCACCTCAGATCATCTGAACACCCAAGGCCTTGCTGTAAGCACTGTAACTGCAGGACATGGTGTCAGCATGCCTGTCGGTCTCCTGAATCTTGAGTTATGACTTCCCAAATGATTCCCAGTGTTTCAGGGGACGAGGGAGCATCTCCGAATGAGTTCCACTGGGCTCCTGTTGAAGTCAGCCAGGAACATGCTGGGTGGCAGTTGGAAAGAGGGAAAGACAGGGCATGTGGGCAGCGTACAGGACCTAATACTCAAAAGTGCATTGTCAAGCAGTATACTTACTAGATTGAAAAGGCTTTTGTTTTTATCATCTGTCGTTTATAAGATTTATTAGTCGCTAAGCTACATACTTTTTCCTAGGCTCTCAGCTGTCAGGAAGCTCTTGGTTTATAACATGTGTTGAACAAATAACCTGTTTAAAATGTTCCTCATATTTTTGTACTGTCTTCTTTTTTTTATTGTTGTTTTTAATTTTAGTTTATTAGTACATGTGTGCAATACATAACGCTTACATAGGTGGTACATGTACCTGACACATCTTAATTCCTTCTTTCATCCCCTTTCCCTTCCTTCTCTCTGTCCTCCCTGTCTTTTTAAACTGGGCCCAGCTTCTACCCCCAAAATCTCAGTAGCCTTATGAGTCCAGCCTGACTAACCACATGCTCCCAGCCCTAAGGCATGATTCCTTATCACTCAGTTTTGTAGTAGGCATTAACCAGAGTCTCAGTCAGCTAACGGTCCTATGCACAAGCTTTCCCAGGTCTCTTGGGCATGACTTTCTGTGTTTCATCTTGGTCCTCTGCCTTCGACCCTCCTCAGTGCATCATCTAGTGTCAGGCCCTGGACCTCTGATTCTTTGTGTAATGAAATATTTTTTTAAGAAATACTGACACGTAGTAAACAGATGACAACATTAACTCTTTGCTCTCTTCTTTACAGACACGAGACGACTTCCTGGGCCAGGTGGACGTGCCCCTTAGTCACCTTCCGGTAAGAACAATTACATGCTTTGTGTTGCACAGCGTGGGGAGTGATTTCTTACTGTTTCCAGCTGGTGTATTTGCAGAGTGGCATACCCCCAGCCTGATGGAGAGGCTGAATGAGGAGCATGTCCACAGGCCCTTGTTCCTTGCTCAAGAACAGCCCTCTCAAGGGGATAGATAGAGATGTCTGAGTCATGCAAGCTGTCCTTGTCCTACCGGCATCCGCAGCTCCCCATCTTGGGTCCTGTAGCTCCTCTACCTGTGCATATGACACCCTACAGAATGACCCTGTTCTTTGTCAAGCCCCTCTTCTTGCCCATTGATGTCTTTGCTTCCACATTCATCCTTTGGGTCTAGGTCGATGTCTGTTCTTTTTGTCTGGAAAAGCACATGGTGCTTTTCACGGGCACCATGCTGGTGTTTCCCAGATTTGAGCCTGTGGCTATCTCAGCATAGAAACAAAAAAAACATTGTTCATGTTCATTGATCTGCTCCCATTCGTATCTGCTTAAATGAGCAAAACAGCCAGAGCTGTTGACTGTAACTGCTGATTTGGGTGTCATGTGCAACCAGAGGCAGTAGATAGGATGTGGGGAGAAGACCAGAGCCCCTAGTGGAGCTTCAGTTTTCTAGATTCCTCTACCTCTCCTCTTGGCCTTCTTCCCCTGGGCAGCACAGATACTCATAGCAGAAGTAGTAGCTGAGAGAGAAGGGTCAAATATTTCTGCCCTACAAGGGCATTGTGTTTTTTAAATCCTTTGTGTGGGTGCAAAACATAAATAGTCCATAATCTAAAATGACTTATACCACCTAGCGCAGCCTTCCTCCTGTAAACTGTGGCTATTCCCATATGTTACACACCAAGACTAGATCTTCCCAAGCAAGCTTTGAAGATGTATTGTGAAGGAATGTGATAGCAAGCAGTGTATTCCTACTCAGGGGAGCTATTAAGGAAGAAAGGTTTCAAGAGCATTCCCTTGCAAGGAATGGGAAGCAAGAGTGATAGCATTAAAATATTTTATTTGTTTCTGTAAAAAAAACCTGAAGCTTAAAGGTGTCTTGAAAAGAAAAGTGTGTGTGCCTGTGTGGGACTTCTGCATGAGACCAATTCTATACACTGTCAGAAATTCAATTATTCTTTCCAGGTCCCATTGAGAGCATGTGAATGTCTCAGTATTTGTGAGGAAAGACTCTTCATGTCTTTGCATACCAGTAGGTCTTCTGCTTATGCTCTTAAGGTCGAAGCTGTAATCATCTCATGCTATTGGACAATGTTAGTTGGCTAGCCAGTTTTTTTGTGAATATCCCCAGCAACCTTTTTCTCTAAAAAACACATCTTGGTGGGGGCAGGGGGGATTATTTATTAATCCTCCCTAAGAAAAGTAAGTGAAAATTTTACCAACTTGCTCTAACAAGCCCTTGTTAGAGTGATTCAGTAATGACTGGCCCTGAAAGACTGGATATGGCGTCCAGAGAGTTAAAGAAGAGGGAGTAGTTCACCTTTGATTTTGGTTGGAAGCAAGTGTGAGCTTTCAAAGAAGAAAATGGTGCTGAGGCTCAGGGTCAGAATAGAAACCAACAAATTAAAGAGATGGAACAGAGACCACCTGACGAGGACTTAATTACTCAAACATGAACCAAGTCAGTGAAATAGTGGGTCCTCCCCAAAAGTAACCTTCATTGGTACACTATAATTCCTATACTTCAGATTGACTAGTTTTTTTCAAGCCAGCTACATTCAGGGAGATGGACCACAAATAAAACAAAAGGAATGGGTGAAGGTATATTCTTTATCATTTATGTGATGGTAGAACCCAAGTAGCATATTCTGAATGGACGAGGCCTTTGGGCCCTGAATTTGGGGTGCTATTGTGTGCATATTTGATTGTACGTGTAGGACACTTGTGGGAACATTTCACAGCATCATTCATTTTGTGTGAGAATAGACAAATGTGAGAATGTGAAGTGGATGTTAGCATTTGAATGTTTTATAGAGTGAATAAGGGATGGTCATTTCATGATAGTATACAACCATTGTCAAGGCCGGTTATATATGGCCTCTAGATTTAGCATTTGTCAGAATCATCAAATTTCAAATAAGAAAATTAGAAAGGTGAAAATAGTGCCCCAAGTTGTCTCATTAGTAATGAAGGAGACCACTGGAGGCAGAAATGTGGTGGTAATTTTTCTCCTCTGCTCCACCCATGCCTTTTTAAAGATACAGGAATCTGATTGAGGGTATGATTATCAGTTGATTTTATATGGCCCTGTCATCTGCTAGAGAACCCACTCCTTCAGTACATACTTATTGATGGAGAGGATTCTGTTGTTTGAGGATGGATTAGTATAGCAGTTCCTTCCCTCACGTGGCCTGGTACCACTATTACTGGAACCCCAGGTGGCACTTGAGCATCTGAAATGTGGTTAATATGATGGAAGAGCTGACTTTATCATTCTGTTTCGTTTTAAGTAAGACTTAAACTTAAGTCACACGTGACCAGTGATGACCACATTGGACAGCATGTATGAAAATCAGACCACCATACCCTGACTTAGATCAGAAATGTGTGACTCTGGGTGGGTAGGGTGGTGCACAGCTGCAGTCCTGTACTCTGGGAGGTGGAAGTAGGAGGATCATAAATTAGATCTACCTCTGGGCAACTTAGTTACTTAGCAACCATATCTCAAAATAAAAAAGGGACTGGGGATGTAGCACAGTACAGAGGGCCCGGGTTCAATCCCCAGTACTGATGAAAAAAAATACGATTCTGTTGTCCTCAGATAATAATTCTCACTATTAAGGAAACTAGGTGAGACAGTTCCCCAGCCCACCTGGGCTCCTTGGCATGGTTTTATTCCTTTTCCCTCACTGGGGCTGTTTCTCTCTCACTCTATACATGTAACTTACTGAAAATATTTAATTTAGATAATAAGAAAAGTCCTCAAATTTTGAGACATAGAAATAAAGAGAATTAATCTTTTGTTATTTTCAAAATCTCTAGCAGAAAAATACTCAATTGACCGTCCCTCCATGTTGAAGTAGATACTCAATTTATTTTAAGGCATCTCGGAGTAGGAATGAGGCATTATCTTGTTGCCAAAAATATTACAGACCTTTATTCATTAAAGCAAAACTGCTGTCTGCTTTGCCTCTGGCCTATGGACATTGCCAGCGTTGAATGAAGCTCTTATCTCAATCAGAAATGTGATGGACAGAAGTCAAGACAGCAGAAAGCAACTGCATGTACACTCGTGATTGTTAGAAAATTATTTTTAATAATTTAAACATTCTGTCTTGTCTATTTTGTGTGTGTAGTTTTGAAAAAGAAATACTGTTGCCCTCCTAACTGACATCTGCTGAAGAACTTTTCCTAACCACAATTCCAAAGGCCTCTCCCTGCAGTTGCCAGTGGATATTGATGTTTGCAATATAAAACTTTGCTTTCAGATTCTGAGACTAAGCTCTCCTAGGATGTCCCCATCTGTAACCATAACTTCCCTGACCCAGAGAACCCTCCCAGGCTGACTAGAGCCCCTCCCCTCGGTGGGCTCACTGAGCAGCACACCCCTGGGTGGGGGGAGATTCCTGGCAGCACAAGCATTCCGGTACCATGGAGCTGGCCCTTAACACTCCTCTGCCACCTACCGCCAAGAGTCAGACACCTAGATTAATTAAATGCTGTGCTGGGCCTTATGGACCATTATGTGCAAGTCCAAGTTGGTGCTCTGCCTGTGTGACTAGGAGGCAGCTAGGAGAGGAGAGGGCAGGGAGGGTCTTTGAAGCTGGGCACTCTGCATGGTAGAAAATCACTGTCTCAGTTAACAGCTGCAGGGCCTGTTGTCATTATCCTGAGCAGGAAAAGAAAGAAGTGATCATGAGAACAAATGAACTTCTTTTCCTGCTTTGACCATATGTTCATCAGCGCTTCGTACTTATCAGGTGCTTCTAAAGGAAAGAATAATTTTAGAATTATGATTTACTTTCATTCTTGGCCATAAGATTCAGTCCTCCCAGTTTTTTGTGTGGAAAAAAATGGATAGGAAATAAGAGTCAAGTTGTCTAGAACAGTAGGGACCTCTATTTCCTTTGCTTCTATTCCGGGTGGTTTGCTTATCTTTAATATGTCTTTTTCCATTTTATTTCACTTTGAATGGAGGAGTGAAGGAAAGGGCAAACAAATAGGGTTAGTAGGCTGACCCTTTCTTCAGGTCAGGGAAGTAAGGAACCACAAGTCCACGCTCTTTAAGAAGTCTCCCAAGGTTGGGCTTTAAAAGATAGAACTCTGTCAGACATTGTTCACTTCTGTCAGGGGGTGGGTGAGTTCCCTAGGTAACCTTAACCACGTTAGTGTTCCTTTCTGGGCCTCTGCTTTCCTGTGATATGAGGGTGCTTGCATAGACAAGACCAGCTTTTCCATCTAGCTCTATGGTAGAGCATCAAAGCTGTTCCAGTGTTGCCTGATCAGAGCCTCCATGGTGTGATGACATATGCATTACCTAGGAGATGCTGGCAGTAGAGCACCAGAGAGAGGCATGCAGAGGGGATGGGAACCTGTAATTGAGGAAGGTCCTATTGTCCTACCAGCCTGTGCCTGTGGTGCAGCTTAGACATGGCTCCTGTCATCTTCTCCACCAGTACCAGGAGTAACCTCAGCTGTAGCTACACATGATCATTGGTTACTTTAAACTACCATTTGCGTGTTTGCTTGCTAAATTCAGTGCATCATTGCCTAACATTCATATAGTATTTGATAATTTATGGCTAATTATTTTGGGATAAAAATAACTCCAAGATCTGTATTAACAGAATGAAATTCTGATAGGTATTTACCTGTTGTACCTCTGGGCTTTCTTTTTTTGGCTCTTTCTGGTCTCTTGTGCCTGCCCTTGCCATAGAACCTACCTCTGCCCAACCACGAAATCTCTACATCCATGGACAGTATACTGAGGCAGGTAGAGCTATTTTTAAAATGTTAATGTTTCCCATCTCAGTCAAATGCTACTTACAGCAGTCATGGCTAACTTTGGAATTTTAGTTTTCTTGGAGTGAAGTATTTTCAAGGTGATGCCTAACTATATTTAAGGCTTACCTAGGTGGTCAGCATTTTTACCCCTCTTAATGTTTATAGCTGGTAGCAGGACAATGGTTCCCTCTCGTGTGCAGAATCAAAATCATGGAGTTTGGAGGGAGTTTGAAGGCATTTATCCATTTATGAGGGTATTTTCCAGGTAAAGAAACCTCAGCCCGGAGAAGTACCTGATTTGTGCAGTAGTCTGCAGGTTGATGGCAATGCCAGACCTCCCCTCATTTTCCCGGCATCATCGTGCAGCTAGGCACAGTTAAGAAGAAGGAGTAGCCTGAGGCTTGGGAGCTTTTGGTAGTGGCAGAGGTAAATCTGAGAATCTATCAAGGCCTTCCCTCTTCATTTGCCTGCAAAATTGTTTCTCTTACTCCATGTTATAGCAACTGCACTTCTGCAGAAGCAGCCACTGTCCTTAAGGTGGCAGCACTATGAATCCAAAAATTTCTTTTGTATTTGTATTCAGATCCGTCCATTTGCAATACCTTCCCATCAGGAATACCCCCATGCCGTCCTGGGAATCTCCACTTGGCTTTTCTCCAGGGAACATGATCAGTTTGGAACCTGGATAAGTGCCAAGAATAGTTATCTACAAGATCATCTTCTTGTTCTGGCTAGAGAATTTCTAGCTCCCTGCCTTTTGTTGTACAACATTGAGTTGACAGTGCTCATATGATGTGAAAATATAGAATTGACCAATAATGATGAAAATGGCCACATTTGTTAGGTCTACCGGGAACCCTTGTGAGAACTATATGATTAGTTTATCCTCACAACAATCCTATAAATCCAGTTGCTAGGGCCAGGGGTATAGCTCCATAGTAGAACATTTGCCTGCCACGCACAAGCCCTGGGTTCAATCTCCAGCACGCGCGCGCGCGCACACACACACACACACACAAGAGATGAAGACACTAGAGCAAAGAAGAGGTAAGAACCTTCCCCTGGGGCTCCTGGCTCTGTAAGTAAGAAAGCTAAGGGGGACAGGCCTGGGGGATCTGCCTCTTGATGTGTGATGTTGGTCATTTAAACAAATTCACTTCCAGAGCCCTCTGAGCTCTGTGCCCTTCTCTGCTCACTCTTACATGCCCTGCTGCTCCTAGGTTCCTTGTACTGGGTAGTGATTCTATATGATTTGCTTGAGCTCTCTGGTTTCCTGATCTGGCACTGACCTTTCTCCCAGACCTCTGCCTTTCATAATTTCCCCTCAAGTTGAATTAGTCTTTTCCTTCCGTGCTATGTCAGTGAATTCATTCTGCCTTAGAGATTAGTGAATTGTTGATGTTGACCACTCCTCCCATATAGATGTAACACTAAGGGCAGGTACTCTTCTGTATCCATGGTATTGCTCTAAAATTATTTTTTATCAAGTAAATGAAAAAGGGGAAGAAGTACTAGCAATAGTGTTCTTAATTACAACATTTCCCATAATACATGATGTACATTTGGAAACTTTTTAAAAAGAAAATATTCCCAAATGTCTAAGTTTGATTTTACTGCCTTAGTAAATAAGTCCAGAGACTATAATAGACTTTTTTCCATGATACTAAGTTTTCAGGGCCGTGCTAGTTTCTGTAAGTCAAATGAATTTATCAACTGCTTATCCACGTGCTACTTAGCACCAGGCAATATTCTTAACAACAGAAAAGCAGTGATGAGTAAATTCAGGCTTACATCCTAGAACTGATGGATGATAAACTAGTAAATAAGTAAATGAATAAGATAATCTCAGTGATAAAGGAAGATAAAGAGTGGTAGTAGTGATATGATAGACTGATGAATGTAGGCTTGTGGTGGGAGTGTTAGTCTGGTGATGCGATGGCAAAGTGGCAATAGCCATGCTATATGTAGTCAGCTCTCCAGCAGAGGGATCTGCCAGTGTGTGGGTCTTCAGCAGGATTAGATGTGATTTGCACACAAGACAGCTGAGGCCAAAATGACTGGAGTATGAGGAGCTGTCAAGGAGACCGTGAAAGGTAATTCAGAACCAGATCGTATACCTTGTGGGTCAAAGGAAGGAATTTTCATTTGGGAGGTAAAAGCAAGGAATGACGTAAACAAGGTAGCATTTCAAATATAAGTGTATATGTATACACATCCCTGATACAAAAACTCATTGTACTGTGGTCTGTCTCTCTTGCTACAAAAGTAAGTACTTTAAATTGCGTTCATTTGAAGAGACTAGGTTTTGGTTGTACTATGTATAGTATTTAAAAAATAATAGTAGCACTTATATTTCTAGCTTCTTGCTTTGTTGGGCCATCCAATGGCACAATAAAATGAATATTGATTTCTTTTACATGAACAAATAATCCAGTTTCACACAGAGCTTCATGAGGTAAGCCCCTGTGGAGGGTAGTTAGTGGTGCTTCCTAGAAAATCTCTGTGCAGCAGATATCTGTCATTTTTTTTAGGTTAATGACATGATACTTTAATGTGATAAATAAAGTTGCCTTTAAAGACTAGATCTTGGGAGTCTTGTTGACTCCTCATGTAGATTTCTGTAGTCACAGGGATAACAAGGCACCAGTGACCCCTAGTTCTCCGAAGCTAATTAGTTCCATGAGATTGAGGCCACACCCTGCAGTTAGAAATTACACTTGGCAGTGACAACTATAATTTTGTCATTTGTATATGGCTGAGGTTGACTCCTAAAACCCGATGTGGACAGTGACATCTAGTGGATCTTCAGTAGACAAAGCCCCATGGCCTTATCAGATGTTTAATTAATTAATCATCTAGAGTGATTGAAGAACCAACTCTTATTTTCAGCCTTGCCATATTTTGAAATACAGAAATGTATCCCTTACAATCTAGTTTGGTGTATCTAAAGTACAAAATTGTCAGGACTATTGAGACCTAATTTACTTTTTCATTCCATAGACAGAAGATCCAACCATGGAGCGACCTTATACATTTAAGGACTTTCTCCTTCGACCAAGAAGGTGAGATGTGAGGGTGGACCGATGGTGTGAGGTGCATCCTGTGCACTTCAGATGTTAGTTTTTCTGAGGACAGTTTCATCAGTTGCCATAAAAAGGAAGGATGTAAGCAAGTCATATCCTTTATAACCAATTTTCTTCCTTTATGCAGTCATAAATCTCGAGTTAAGGGATTTTTGCGGTTGAAAATGGCCTACATGCCAAAAAATGGAGGGCAAGATGAAGAAAGCAGCGAACAGAGAGACGACATGGAGGTAGGTGGAAGAACTGCGGGCCTGGGCCCGGGCCTGGGCATGTGTTCCTGGCTAAGATCTCTTTCATATTTTGTGGTGAGATTTTGCATTGAAGGAAGCTAAAAGCTTGTGAAGTTAAATATGAATGCACTTCCATTGTCCCTAAATGTGTCTTTGCTAGTTACCCAGTGTGTTTGTTCTAGTTAAAAAGTTGAATTCTTCATTTTATGCTACAGTAATAATTGAGTGAAGTGTTCTTTACACAGTGCAACAACATCTATCAGTCCCACCACCCACATACACCTGAGGCTGTTACTGCTTTGGACTTTCAGCTCTTAGCACTTGAAGTTGCTTCAGAATGGATACAGTCATTTAGCAAATCTCCCTCCATTTCTGAGTCATTTGATCCACAGGTGATAGCATATAGTAGAACAGCTCCCCTCTGGAAAGGCCTCCTTGAAATTAGCTGGTCAGAGGAATTTTCTTTTTGTCCTCATGGAACAGCAGCCTCTTAATTTTCTTGTCACATACCTGTGCTGTGGGCCCCTTTATACCTTCTCAGCACATGCTCAGGGTGTTTTAAAAAAACACATTCTCATGGTGTTTGGAATGCATCTGTTGAACAAGGCCTCTCTGTGGCTGTTCTCACATCTGTTTGCAGCTGTCACATATATGCAATACGTGAATAATTGTTGTGGGCAAGTTTACCAGACCCCGTCCAACCAGGAGGCCACAGTTCCAGGCAGTGTCCACTATGGGCACTCACAGCTCTTCTCGTGAGACAAGGACTAAAGTGGGTGGCAAGCCATTGTGGAGGCTGAGATTTCATGACCACAGCAAGAGATTTTTGTGTCAAATGTGAGGAATTTTTTTGCACTCATCTTGCCTTCCAACTGCAGTAATCAGTGAATTACTTAATTTTCCAGTGACTTTACTAGGGGATGTTAGAAAAGCAATACTTAATGCCTAAAGTATGCATTGTAAAATGTAACTCTAACCCTGGTACCATGAAGCCTGTTTGTGTGCATGGCCTAAGTAGACAGTGGCAGCAGCTTCCAGACTTCTTCTGGCCCCGGGATCATAGCAGATGCACAGTGGTTTTACCTGCTCTGCACTCCAGCCTCAGGACCATCCTGTGTGGAGACCAGCAGGGTGAGGTCTCCTTCACCCATGCCATGCTTTCTGTTAGAACACATATGTGCATGATTGCATCTTTACCTTGTGGAGGTGCCAATGGGATGACGGCTGTGATGTGCCATGTTGTCGGTACAGCTTCCTGCAGCCCTGAAGGCCCTCAGATCGTATGAGATACGAAAGAATACAGTGAGACTTAAGTATCTTCACCAACTGCATATCCAAACCTGCACAGCTTCCCACAATATAATCATTCTTAGTAGGCAACACAATTAATTGACCATTGCTCAAAAGATTTTTGAGACCAGGAATTGTTTGTTTGCCCTTTTCTGGGAACTTACCCCATTGTAGCACATGAAGCCATTGCAGGAACCAGGGCATGACAGCAAAGCAGGAGGACATGCAGAACATGCTGTTGTTGTCTTTTCCCCACAGTCAGAAGAATCACCCTCATAATCATCCTTTTTATTTTATTCCACAGCATGGGTGGGAAGTTGTTGACTCCAGTGACTCAGCTTCTCAGCACCAGGAGGAGCTTCCTCCTCCTCCTCTGCCCCCTGGGTGGGAAGAGAAAGTGGACAATTTAGGCCGAACATACTACGTCAACCACAACAACCGGACCACACAGTGGCACCGACCAAGCTTAATGTAAGTATCACAGTGTCAGGGACACCCGGTCGACTCTACACCGGAGTGAACTCAGCAACTCTGGGATGAGGCTAGGAAGTACATTCTGGTGTCAGGAAATCAGGTGGTTCCTGTTCTCTGAGGTACAGTGTAAAAGCAGTCGGAAACTGTGTATCGGGAAAAGAGGCCGTGGCCCTTGTACCACCACATTCTGTCATTAGCAGGATGAGCTGCAATATTTTGTGTATCTTATTCATACAGATTTCTGACATCTGTTTTTCCAAGATTTATCTTATGTTTGATGATTATATTGCTCCCTTCTCCTGCAGACTTCTTCCTGACTGACCCAGAATACAAAATAGCAAGCAAAATTGGCTTTTCAATTTTTTGGTTTTTTTATGTTTTTGAATTTCTGTTTTATTTTTTTCTCAAAAGCTTGTTTTTGGCGGGGCGCGGGGGGTGGAATTTATATATTACCCCCTTGATATAATTAGAAACACATAGGACGTTTGCAAAGTCAGAATTAGTAATTTTTGTTTATTTTAATTGCTCACCAGCCTCAGGGGTATAGTGAGCCAAGTATGTTTTGTTCCCTAGCAAATAAATCCTAGTTAAACCTCAACTTCTATTAAAAAAGGTTTTGAAGCAGCTTGCTGTTAAATCATATTGTGTAGCTAGATCCAAATATATTGATACAGTAAGAAGCGAAACCAAAGTACTAAGGAAAGGAAAAATTATCCTAGAAACTATGAGCTCCCTAGTAGCTAAGAGAAAGAGGATAATTATCAATTATGCATTATATATTTTTATATAATTTTCAGTATGTAATAAACACAAGTGTAGTGGGTGAGAAAATTTTCTCTTCAATCCTAATGGAAAGAAATTTGCTGATGATGTATTTTAAACAGGCAGTATTAGCGGTATGCTGGAAAGTGTTATTACAAACCCTTTATCATCAGAAATTGCAAAGATATTCTGCATATGACTAGGTGGGGAAAGCGGCCAAGTCAGCTGGACTGGGTTTTATTGAATGTGGAAATAAGGCTTGCAGACTGTGGAGCAGTGAATTAGTGAATTGCCAGTCCTCCCTGAACTGTTCTTGTGGCTACCAGCTATCCTTGGTATTGGACTAGGAAAGCTTCAATATCGGGACATTGGGATAATAAATTTAAGTGGAAATGGTTTAATTGATACTTTTTCCCTTTCATTAATGATCATAACTGTTAACAGTGTGATAAGCTGTTTTGACTATCGTAGCTATTTATAGTAAAAATGAATTTGGATCACCTTGCCTTGGTTATATGCTTAATGAGAAGAACTGTGGTAGTAGAGTCCTAAAAGCACTGTTGTCCACCTTTGCTAAGCTGCACGAGAAGGGAGTATCTGGAAAGGCTACACTCCGCGGTAACTCTGGCAACCAGCATGTCAAGTGGCCTCTGTGGAGAGGGAACTGGGAACAGATCACAAAAGAAATACTAATCTCTGATACATAGGTGGAAAAAATGTTCAACTTAATTCATAAGTGCTGTGTAGATTGAAGTCTGCACTCTAGGGAATAAATAAGAATGTTTGCTACTTTTGTTGCCTCAGAGTTGTGAAACACCAATAACAGAATTCTAAGAAAACACTTCACATGTTTTTTAAATGTCATATCTTTATGATTTTGTAGGGTTTCACAGTTGAGTACTTATCCCCAGACTCTTCAAGATATATCCATTAAATAAGTACAACTTCCTGTGTGTCAGTCATACCTCCATAACAGGGTCTTTAGACAAATACCATCTTTGGTTGGCAGTGTCCCAAAGAACCAGGCCCAAACAAAAGGTACACCTTATACAGTGCTGGCTTACCATGAACCCAGAAGCAACAAGGAAGAAGCGTGCCTTAACACAAGTTCAGGTTCACATGTGGTTTAGGAAAAAGTCAGCAACATAACTGTCCCCATCAGTGAGGCACCACTGTCACAGGGAGAGGCTGAACCAGGAGAGATGTCAGAACAACTTGGTGGGAGGCAAGAAAGCCCTCATTGCCATTAGGATTGGCTTCTAGAAAGCAAAAGAAAAAGTTAGGGAGCACATTAGCTCCTCATTCCCTCCTAACTTTTATGAATTTAGGGTCTTTCTCCTTAATTTTATTTGGCTTGGCCAGAAGCCGTTGGGTCTCTAGAATTATGATTAAGAGTCACTTTAATTCAAAAGTAGTTTTTTTTCATAATTCAGTTTTCACAGAATACTGCAGCATCCTTCAGAAGAAAATTGATAATTGTTAGAAAATACGTTAATTGACAGGGTATCTGAGGAAATCATAGTAATTACCATGTGCTGAGCAAAGAATTAAGACTACATCAGTGACTAATTCTTGTTCAGTTTGCTACAGACTTGTGCCCTAAATTTTAACCTACAGGAAACAGGTGTATGTTTTGTCTTTGACTTTCCCTTGTCCTCAGGGTGTTCCTACAAGGTCTTTCTTCACCAAAAGGTCTTTTGCTGGAATTCATTCAGTGGTCTTATCACAGCTGCTTTCTTGTTGCTTTCCTCTTATTGCTGGGTCCTGTGGATAGCACCCCAACCACAAAGACCAAGAGTCTAGAGCATATTCCTTTCCCGCTCCACTAACAGGCCTTCCCCTGTCCAGCTCTCCCCAGGAGCCTTTGTGCTTGGCCAGTCATAGCACAGTGCACAAAGTCTTCCCCTGCCTGTTTATTCATAGATGGAGCCCTCATGGCTAGCACACAGTAGGAGCTGAGCAGCATACATTTTTAAATGGGTGGTTGACTGCAGGAGCCCCTTCTGAAAGTGGTTTTAGGCACATGGTTTGGTGCACTGTCTAGGTCAGATTTAGGCCTGGACTCAGAACTTTAGCACAGATGAACCTGGAGCTCATGCCAGCCTGTTCAATTTTGGTGATGGCTTTTAAGACACCCCTAATCATAGATTTTTTTAAATCTTTCTTAAATGTACACTGAAAGTTACTAGTGTAAAAATATAGTTTTTAAAATAGTAAACAAATTATCTTGTGACATTCTGTAAGTGAATGTAAACTTGTTAAACTGAAACACTTGTTTTAACCCTTTTTATTATAAAGTATATTATCTGTTTAGTGGTAATTTAATCATCTCTGTGTGATTCAGAGCAAGACTGCAGTCACAGTGTATGGTGAATGTAAATTATCTGGCTCACTGATGTTAGCTGGCACTAAATTTGATTTCAGGGCAGCTTGACTGTTCCTCTTGTCATTTGTGTTATTTCTCTTGAAAGTCAAATGAAGACTATATGTACAAAACTAATGACGGAAGACAATTTGAAGTGGGCATTTCTTAAATTATTTCCTTGCCCACAAACAAATCATTTTTTAAATTTCAGTTTATCAAGTCAAAAATAATTGTAAGTGGTCACCTTCCAATTAGTAACCATTTAAACTCAGTGCATTTCAATATCTCTCTTGCTTAGTTAAATGAAGAGGGCCTCTCTTCTGTGAACATTGTCACCACTTAAGTCCATAAAAGCCCCTGGACAAAATTTCAAAATCAGAGTTATCTTGCTTCTGAAACTATTTAGTTGTTACTGCTTCACACTGATTACTGATTATGTGTGCATGTTAGATAAGGAAAACTGACATAATTGATTTTTAACACACCTCAGTTTTTAAAAAGTCCATCCTGGAGTAGTAGACTTTCGTATACTTCTGAAGGATGTGAGATGTAGATGTAGTAACATTAAAATCTTATTCTCTACTCCTCTAAGTCCTGGTGCTTGTAACAATTCAGTATGTACTCATCCTTCAGGGCCTGGCACACATAGCTGTATGTAGGTTACTGCCTCACTGTGACTGGGTGGTAGCCACAGCTAGCAGCATTTCAAGGAAGATTTAAAACTTTGATAAAATCTTAGATCCGAAGTATTGTCAAGTAAGGCTGATCATCCTAATGTGAAATTGCCTTCATCCTTAATAAAAACTGCAAGAAGGTGCCACATAGCTTCCTTTCCTTTCCTTTTCCTTTCCTTAGATTACTGAATTCATTTACATCCTTTATAAATGTATTGTGATCTTTTCCTTCAGGGGGGTTGTTGTTCTGTAATAATTGATTATATTTTATGATCGTTGTATACTTAAATATTGAATGACATAAAAATTACAGCAACATAAACATGTTATACTTCCTAACATAATCAACAATGTCATTTTTAATCATTCTGTTTTTGTACTTTAATAAGTTTTATTGATATACTTAATTTTAATAATTTCTTCTATGATATTAATCAGTTTTCTGAAGATACCACTAGTGTACTGTTTTACTCTTAATTATATTTAATATAAATAAAATATGCAGAGTGTACATTTAAGAGTGCAAAAGGTTTGTATGGTGTACAACTACAATAAAACTTCATTCATTAAGACTTTAATAATAAGGAATTATAATTTAAATGTGGATTAAAAGGGCAGTCCACTTTCTGGGCCCCCTCTTTCTGCCTTAAACAGAAGCTGTTTTTCTCTCAATAAATTCTTCCTACTCTTTGAATAAATAAATGTGGATTAAATAGAACCTGACCTTCACACTATCGCCTTTACCAGTAAAGTTAATAGTGCAAAGAATATTTGACAGGAATACTTAACTATTTTGGCAACTGGTGTCAAAAAGTCAACCATTTACTTGCAAATAGTGTGATTACAGACTAGTCTTACACTAGTCTGGACTTGCATGGACTTATGTGGTGACAGTGTTCACAGAAGGGAGGCCCTTTTCATGTAATTAAGCAGTTAGTCTGTAATTAGCTACATTGTCATTTAATTAAGCAGATTCTTCATTTGGGATGTAGTGTAAGTTAGAGACTATATTAGAAATTTTTAAACTTTTTTTAAGAATCTATAGGGCTCTTGACTAATACTGTATTTCACTTTGTCTAAAATAGCTTCAACTATTTAGAAACATTAACTTGCAACATGACTTATAACTGAACACAGAGTTTTACTGAAAGTACTTGGGAATGTCCTCTGAGAAGTATTGTGGCATTTAAATTTCTACCCTGAATGCCTTTTTCTCCCAAAGAATGATTGCCTGTAATATACTGCAAAATGTTTTCAAGATCAAGTTAATGCATTCAGAACCTAAATTGAGAACTATGTCACAAAAATATAGTTCATGATATTGCATTTGCAGTGTTCGTCAAACCCCAGTTTGCTGGGGAAGTTAACTCCTAGTGTGTATTTGGATTTTTAAAAGTAATTTTGGGGGGACGGAGGATTTAGTATTGTGAGATTTTGTCAAAATGAGGTAGAAAGCAGCTGAGAAAAATCATAGTGGTTCAAGAGTCCTTTCTTCCAGATTGCAGTCTTGAATTTGAATGGTTTGTAGTCTTTGATCAATTGCTGATGACAAACAATAGCTTTTTGGTCATGGCTGGACTCATTAAACAAATTACCACTATACAGAACCTATACAGCCTTTTTTTCTCTTGTCATTATTCTCTAAAAGACAGTGTAACAGTTATTCCCATCACATTTATATTGTATTGGGTTTCATAGGGAATGCAGAGATGACTAAAGTATACTGGAGATATGTGTGTGTTCTATGCAAACACTGTGGCATTTTGTGTGAGACTTGAGCATCTGTGAGGAAGGTGAGGGGATCCTGGAACCAGTCCCCCACAGTGCACTGAAAAACTATTTTTATTTTATTGAAATGAACCTGGTACTATAGCATAGCTCAGATGAAGTGCTCAGATTTGGTGACCAGGCCTGGTGGCCCTTAGTGACAGTTAGACAGTTGGAGGATCAGTACTGAATATTGTCTTTCTTCTTGCACCCTTGCTTCCTGCCCTCAGGGATGTGTCTTCCGAGTCAGACAACAACATCAGACAGATCAACCAGGAGGCTGCTCACAGGCGCTTCCGCTCTCGAAGGCACATCAGTGAGGACTTGGAGCCTGAGGCCTCCGAAGGTGGAGAGGGCCCTGAGGTACAGTGTCCCCGACATGCCATCAGACTCAGAGCTCAGTCTTTCCTCCGCCCACAGGGTTACTCTGTTGTAATTACATTTCTCAGTAAGGCTTGTCTAGAATGTAAAAATTGGGATCTCGTAGCTAATTGATTACTGGGTGGGCATTAATTAATTTAGAAAGTGTTTATAAAAGCCATGTTTGATAAGTACTCATGGCCTTTTATCATTACAAAAGGGATTGGTGTTATTTCTAGTATGAAAATCTTAAGACATTTTTACTTTGTAATTTATTTTTCCTCAGGGTCTAGCCATATCTCATTAAACAACATTAAGAATATCATTTGAACAACTGCATGAGCCTTATAACTTGCTTTTATATCACAGGCAAGGTTTTTATGAGTATTTTTGATGTCTTGAAAAAGATTTTATTACCAAAAATATAAATGTTTATAATTTCCCCTTTAAATGGTTATAGTCCATTACTGGAAAAGAATGTGAATTAAACAAATCAGCTGTAATATTCCATACTATCTTTGTTCCATCCACTCACCAAATCAATTATTTTTAGACATTGTGTGAGGAAGATCATTCACAAAACGTTGCAGTGATCAAAATTTGAAAAGCAAATTAAGGATTCCATAATAAAGCCACTAAAATTTATATTACTGTGTAATTACACCTTGGCATTTGTGCTGTTTTCACTATAAATCTTTAGCAGTCAGAGAAAAGAAAGCCTATGAAAATCATTTCTAAACTCCTGAGAAGATTGCTTTAACCCAAGCATATAGTAACAGATGCTGGCAATAGAGTCATAAAGGGATGAGAAGCACAACCTGTAGAACCTAGGCTTCCCAGGTTCATGTCACAGCCCTGCTACCACCAGCTTTCTGGCCTTGGGCAAGTTATTCTCTGTGCCTCAGTTCCCTCATCTCTTAATTGAGACAGTAGTCATATCTTCCTCATGATTACCACCACATAGATTGTGTGCCTCATTGTAAGTGTTGACTAGATAGATGTTACTTTCAGTCATCCTTGTGGTTATTGTTGTTACCTGTTTTTCGAGGGGAGGATGGGAGGATCCCCAGTTCCTAGCATTTACCTCAGCATCTCTGTCCTTGAAAGCCTTGGGAGACCATTTCAGAGGAAGTGAACATGACCGGAGACTCCCTTGGTCTGGCTCTGCCTCCGCCGCCTGCTTCTCCGGTGTCTCGGACCAGCCCACAGGAGCTGTCGGAGGAGCTGAGCAGAAGGCTTCAGATCACTCCAGATTCCAACGGGGAACAATTCACTTCTCTGATTGTAAGTGCTAATCTTGTTAGAAAAACTAAACAATGGTCTGTCATTTCTTGTTGCTTTAGGAGATTTTTGTATATAAATAACAACCAAGGGTTATCTAGCAAACTCTGACATTTACTGAAGTTCTGACTCTCTAGGAAAAGCAGGGCTATATTAAAATCAGCCCAGGCTGGTGGCAATCATGATTTGGAAAACAGCAATGCACTACTGACTCTTTTTCTTGATTTGTAAAAAATTCAAAGGAATAGAATTCCACTTCTATAATTAATAGCTTTAACCTTACAGAATTTCTTTCCCAGCCAAGAGGCTCATAAAAATAGTGCCTTCATCATGAAAGTGGTATTTCACAGTAAGAATTAGGGGCCTTTCAGACTCCTGATGAAGCTTCTGAAGTCATACTCTGCATGCCCTATCACTCCATTTCACAGAGAAGAGCAGATGTTTAAGTAGACCCAAGACAAGAGCTTAAATGGGAGGCAGAAGACACCTGCTAAGTCCCAGAGCATGAGTCCTTGAGAAAGGGTATAAAATTGTGACACTCACATGAAGATAGCGTATGAACTGAGGTTTTCAACCATCAGAGATACACTTTCTAGACGCTTCAGCTGGGACTGAACCCCAGTGAGAAGCAGTGAAATCATTCATGAAGAGCTTTGCATTTGACAATACAGAAACTGCAGAAAAGGCCCATACTAATTCCTGCATGTGCATAGAATCAAGCGCCAATGTATAGTATTTCTCGAGAATTGAACCTAAAAAATATACAATAGTAAATGATAGTAGTCTCTCCACTGACAAGGGTATCCTAGAACTAGTAGTCATTATGATCATGTTGAATATAAATGACAGCTGGACTACATAAAATATTCAAACCAAGTAAGTACTCACAAAATTGTTACTCCTTTGGCTAGGTGTTTTCACTTAAAAAGACTCCATGGGCCTATGTAGTGTGAGTTGCCCCTGATTACTTACTTGTTAATGTGCTTTCACATTAAAATTCTATGTGAATTTTTTCAAAAAGAAAATGTTATTGAGATGAAAATTTTATAATAAATGGACAGGAAAAGAAGTTTCATATATAAGATAATTTGAATTGGTAAAATTGTTGCTATGGAAACAACATAAGCAATGAAGCCATGTAATTTAAACCTATAAAAGAATCACAGAAGCCATAGCAATTATATACCATTAGTCAACCAAGTGAAAAAAAAGTGTAGTTTTCATCAGCATTAATATTAACATTTCTAGCTATTTGCATAGGGAGCAATTGTATTTAATTACTCTAAAAGCATTAAATATCCCTAAGACCCAAGTGTAGTATGGTATCATTTTCAGATTGTGTTAACTGTTAAAATGGCTAGAGAACCGTGCTCCAGCTTTGCTTCTCAGGGTCACTCTGTATTCAAGGGCAGTAGTGTGAACTTTTACCCAGAATTGCCCATGAGTAGTCCATCATCACCGCAGAGTTCTTCTTAGACATTATCTCATTTTACTTGTTATTGCAAATTGTTAAAAACTAGCACATGCTTCAAGCTTATACCATGCACAGGCCTGCTAATAAGGAGACCTTTGACTTCTGCCTGGGATCTCCATTCAGATCTATTAGACTGTGTTTAACCACATAGAATACCAAGTGAGAGGAACATTACGCATTACACACTAATCTGTTTTTAGAGTAACCTCTCTTTTTTTCCTTCATTCTTTTTCTGTGCTACATCAACTGCACTCAGAAGCTTTATAAATACCCTATCTTTCAGAAGTAGGTCAGGATGATTTCTGAGTTTTCCCGGACATAGAATCCAACTAATTCTTTATCAACTGTAGTAATCAACAAATGCTAAATAGCCATATATCACTGTTTCTTCCTGCTTTTTCCTCTGTTATATTAGAATTTCCCCAGAGCTGGCATCCTAAGCAGAGTACAAGACTGCTCACTTCTAATTGGTGGTTGGAAAGCAGCTCTTGAGCATGGCAGGGACATGTTGAGTTTCTTTTCCAGTAGTTTTGGTCTCCACAGGCCATCCCCCGCCAGTCATTTTCCAGTACTGTGGCTTGAACTCAGGCCCCTTGCGCTGAGCTGAATCCCCAGCCCTTTTGTTATATTTTGAGACAGGCTCTCAAAATCAGGACTTGAGTTTGTGGTCTTCCTGCCTCAACCTCTCAAAGTACCAGGATTACAAGTGTGCATCGTTGGACCTGGCTTCTTATTTTTATTGTTACTTCTAAGATCCATTCAAAATCCCAGTCTGCTGAAAATACTGAGAATTGATAAAAAGGATTGCTTGACTCTCATTGCTCTGAAAAGATGTTTCATTTAATTACCTCCCAATATCAAAAGTAATTCATAGAGCTGGGCCTTGTGGTACACACCTGTAATCTCAGCACTCTGAGAAGCTGAGGCAGGAAGATTGTGAGTTTGAGCCTAGCCCAGGCACCTTAGCGAGACCCTGTCTCAAAATGAGTAACAAAAAAGGACTGGAGATACTGTTCAGTGTGAAAATCTTGGGTTCAGCCCCTAATACTTAAAAAAAAAAGTAGTGCATAGGATTATATGATAGATTTTTTTTTAAACCAGTGAACCTTATTTCTAGGAATATGCCTCTTGACGCCTGCTGTCTTTTCCTCCCCTCCAGCAGAGAGAACCCTCTTCCAGGCTACGGTCCTGCAGTGTCACTGACACAGTCGCGGAGCAAGGCCACCTACCACCGGTAACCCATGCTCATTTCCAGTTATCAGCTGGCTTGGCAGCTTTGATGTAAAAACTTCTGGGCTTCTAAGAAAGAGTTTTTCCTGTACATGTCCATTCACCAAATAAATGAGACATTTAAAAATTTCCTAGCAAATTGTTCAAGGAGAGTAAGTCTCCAACACAGAGAATTGTTACTGCCACCAAGGTCTGTAAAATGCTAAAAACCTCATTGCTTTGGTTTTCCACCCAAATTTATATCAATCCTGGTGTGCTTACTTGGCTGAAGCTACCAGATACATTTATAATTCTTGTTCGGTCCCTGTAGCCGAATCCAGTGAGCTGGACTCTGGAAGCTCACTGAGCCCTTCGAGCAGGAAGAACTCTTCTCGGCAGACAGCTTTGTGCCCCTTTCCACTACCAGCTGCCTAAATTCCCAGCTCCACGAAACTGCTGTGCACTCTCTCTTTAAAGACAGCTCTACAAGTAAACAAGTGGCTGTAATTCATGCTCACTCTCCCACAGTTGTAAAAACTATCAGCAAACACAGAAGTGGTAGAGGGTTTAATAATGCCTAGTGTATATAAAAATAAACATTCAAATTGGAAAGCACACCAGCACTGCCTTGGGAGATATTTGGTGTTCAGGTTCCATTTGATATTTGACCTTGATTAGGTTTTTTATTGCTACAAATCCTTGATTTTTTTTACATACTTTATTATGTATGAATTTAGGGGTGGAAGAGTGCAGTTAAAGTCTTTGAAACCAATGTCTCCCTGGTCCTGTACATTTTTACCTGGCTTTAAAGGTTATTTTTGCCTATGTTTTAGTTTTTTAAGTTTCAAAAATGAATTAATGAGTATATTAGTCAAGATAATAGATTCAGTTGTGATTTGGGCCAGGTACTGGTTAATAATAAGCTTGAAGAGGTCGTCTTATCTGGGAAGGGGTCAGCACAGGCCCTCCACTCCCCAAACAGAACAATGAATGATAATGAATAGGTGGGTTCCTGCTTAGCCTAATAATGCTGTGATTTTCCTTGATGAATTAATGGCACTTTCTCTCCTTTTCAAAATCAGTGTCAGTTTCATTTGCCCAACAGCTTATTTTCATAAAAATGAAATTCCTCCCTCTACTGTTCTCTCATACAGTGCTTCGAGCTCATTGATCACCAGTGGCCTCTCACCTGAGTTTTGTCAGATTTGTGAATGTGCTATTATTGGACAGTGGGGGCAAAGCCGATTGGCTTTTGATTTTTGTCTTGTAAGAAGTCTCACTTTGGTGAGGTTGTTATTGTTCCCCTACATCAAGGGAACAGCCCAGGCCTCTTTTGGGATGGCATGAGGGCAGGTGGGGGTCCTGCTTCTCTTTGGCTGCTGGTCATCAATGTCTGCTCATCTTTGTTTAGACCGAATGTCAGAGGTTCTAATCTCATGCCACCTGCCTTACAGTGCTGCCACAGCAGTGATTCTTGATTCACTAAATGATGGGTTGGACCCTTACGTTCATTTCACTGACATCAATTATCATTTAACAGCCCAGCGCCCCAACTGGGAGAGCGCGCTCATCAACTGTCACGGGTGGTGAGGAGCCAACGGTAACGACACATTTTATCAGACATTAAAGTCAGCAGGGCAGTTTAATATTTTGATTAATGGTGAATATGCTGTCTCCCTTCTTTAAATTGAGGTTGGCTTCTTTGTGCTACAGAGAGGCACATATTTCCTGTTTTAAGCTTATTTTTAGATTGTTCAAAGGTACCAAATAAAATGAAATAATTTTTAGTACCATATTATCTTGTTTGGAATATCATCAGGCTTCGGTTAAGTGTGTTTGATTTGATCGTCTAGAATATAGGTTTGCCTTTTAGCATTTGTACTTCTGATAAGCTTTTCCTTGTTGGTTAAAATAATGTGGTTGGAGAATAACCAGGGAAGCCACGGAAATCACATGAGAGTCCAGCTTGTGCCCAGTGCTGAACTCTCCTCTGCGTCTCCCATACCACGTTTTTTTTACCAGAGGACTGCTAGACCTTTTGTGTCTCCTGCATGAGCCATTAAACTTTCTCTGCCATCAGTGGCTTGACTCACAGGAATGGACATGTGTTTGAACAATTCCCAAGATGGAGGATCATAATTTTTTTTAAAATCTTTTTTTGGTGCCAGGGATCAAACTCAGGACCTTGTGCTTGTGAGGCAGGCGCAGCGCCACTGAGCTAAATACCCAGCCCTGAAATATTTAAATGGTCCAGAAAAATTGATGTTTCTTTAAGCCAAGTATCTATTACTCTTCTTACTTGATGTGTTGAATAATTTATAGTATTCATGTCTATGGGTAACTTAGATTTGGCTGTGTATTTTAATTGTCTGTGTTCTCCATGATCCCTGAAGTCAGATTAGCTTTGTTTATGGTCTGAGTGTGATAGCTAATTGAAAAATTTTCCTTATTGTTCACCTTTGTTGCTTTTGCTGTAACTGCTTATTGCTTTGTGGATAGATTTAACTACATATACAATAGCTGATTTTCTGAAGGATGTTGATGATTTAAAGGAATGATTAGGCATAGTGTTAGAATTTAGTGCTTAGCTTTGTATAAAGAAAAATCAAATTAGCAATCAGTAACAATCAACTCAGTTTAAGGTATTGAGGTGCCATGATTTGTATGAAAGTTATACTGTCTACTAGGTGAGCCAGGCTTAGCCTGCAGTAGAATTCAAAGAACTCTGCATGAACTAGCTTATTTCCTACTGCTGCCAGTAATTTCTGTGCTAATAATGGAATGCACTTCAAGGTACATAGATCATTTCATGAGATGGTTTCATTATTTCACTATGCGGATGAGCATCCTTTCATGTATCATTCAGTTTTGCATTTTGTTAGCCAAATAACCTGTTTTTAACTTTGGAACATGAATAGCTGATAATCATAAATGACAGAGTAAACAATCAGTGTAGTACCAGGCTCCATGGCGAGAGCCACCTGGCAGGACAAGGTGACCCATCGAAGTGAGATGCCATCTGGCTGTGGAAACTATCCTTCTTCTTGCCTGTGTTTCACTCTCCCCCATCAATGAATTAAAATATGGATCGGGTTTGGTTTTTTATTATTAAAGACCTAACCTCAGTAGTTTCTACGAATGTCACCCACTTTCGCTCTGTGGTTTCTCAGTACCAAGATAGGTTTGAAGGGATTATATCCCTTTCCCCCCACCCCATCATTCCTTGTCATGACTTCCGTGGACTTTCTCTTTTCCAGTTTTTTATCATGTTTTTTCTTTGTTTGTTTGTTCTCTTTGACTCGCTCCCTGGCTCTTCTCCATATCAACCCACACTGAAATGTGTGCCTAGGTTGGGGCGCCCTGGAATGGGTTGTCTCACTCCTGCTTCTGTTTTTCTCAGATGCTTCTTTGTGCACAAGGAACACATGCTGCTTTATTTTATTTTTTAAAAGCAGAATGTCTAAATAATGTTAAGCAAATTGATTTTTTACTGATGCTCATTCTTTTGGGACATTAATAATTAATATTCAGTGATATGAATGCATCACAATTTATGTAATTTTCTCACATTGAAGGACATTGAGGCATTATACACTATGTTGCAGTAACCATTCCAGGATGTCTTTCCATATCATGCTTTTCCTTTAGTACAGTGTGAGGCCTGATTCTCGCCAGAGGAACCACAGCTCTGATTTATGGCGAGTAAATACACACTGGTGTCACTTTCAGGCAGGCCAAGCCAGAGCCCTCCCCTTGAGATATAAGGAGAGGGATAGCGCAGTCCTTTGATCTTTGCTTTTTGGATTCTAAAAATATATTAAGGTACTACCATGACAGAGTTTGAGCAAGTCTTGAAAAATCTGTGACTGTCTGTTAAAGTAGTTTTTTATAAAATCATATTGAAGTCTTTTCACTTTAAAGATACTCAAGTTCTTCATTTTAATGAAAGAAACAGAGCCACCATGAAGTTATAGTTAATGATTATTTGACATCATAAGGCACAGTATAGTATATTTGTTCTCCAGAGGAAAACCTGTAAAATATTATGCTAACCAGCAAGTTTTAGTTTGGTTTTTGATTACCTAGCTTGTTTCTTGAGTCTAGAATGTTGGCATGCATGCAGCAGTAGAAGCTTGATCTGTATGTGGAACCCAAGGCCTGCTGCTCTCTGGCCATGTGTGGTGGGAGGCAATGTTCTGAGTCACAAATGGAATCATCAGCACAGGTTGTTCTGCATGCTCATTTGGAAAGGATGCTGTAAAGGAACATTTTAATAATACCATCTTGCATAAATACAGCTCATTTACAGATTGCTGGTTCAATTCTCTATAGAAGGGAGAATGAACATTTTAATCAAATTCAGTGTTCTCTCTGCCACACTCCTAATTTTCCATAATTCGATTAGTCCTGTTAACTACAGATCTGTGAAAGTAACCCAGCTTCTGGAAATCCATACAACTTAGAATTTAATTTTGAGACTAGTTGTGGCACATCCAAGTTATTTTAGTTTATCAGTTGCCTCATAAATATCCTTTTCATGGATGCAGTAACTGTAAAATTAGGCTTGAGGTTTCTGGAACTGAGTTTCCTGAGAGCATATCAAATTGCCTCTCCTCACAAAATAACTCAGCAAGGAAGAAGAGAAATAATAAATCTACTTAGTATTTCACTGAATCAGAGCATTTTTGACTAAGCCATATAAACCATAGGTCAAACTATAGTACATCCTTTGTCACAAATGCTGATTGACACTAACATAGGTTATGACTTGGTTTGCCTGCACAGTTGATCTGCACAGATGTTTAGAAGTAGCTAGAAGGTAGCACTTTCATACTGGTGCTACAGCTGGAGAAGAAGAAGGAAAAAGCTCTGTTCAGGCTGTGGGGTAATCATCTGTCTCAGTGGTCATGAAAGGATTAAGTCTGCCAGTTAATGTTTCTGCTCTTATTGAATCTTCACATTGGGATCCAGGAGACCTTGTGGTCAATCTTGGAATTATCTGGTGGTCCCTTTAGGACTTATCTGGGAAAATGTCAAGGAAACAGTTACTACATTTTTAGCAGGAAGGTTTCTCACAATCTTCCCTTGCCTGGTAAACATGTTTTAGAAATAACCAATGAGTCAGTGGCTTCCTCATTAATTATGTTGTTAATTTTTCTCTGGAGTGTGATGTTAAGCTTATGAAGCAGACTATAGAGCCTCTTTAGGTACTTTTCTGAATACAGTACTTGAAGTAAACTTGTTCAAGTTTCCGTGGGGTCCACTGAGAGGCTCTGCCTGGAACCTTCTTCACCAAGGCACATTGTTAGTACTAATAGAAAAGGTGGGATACGGGAGGAAGAAGTTGAGTGAAGAGGAGATGTGCATCCTGAACCCAATCCAGAGAGAGTGACACCTGCTGAGACTTGTGGAGAGTCAAGGAAAGCAGTGCCCAGAGCAGCACTGTTCCTAGTGTCCCACCTATGTCATTGCTAGCCGTTGGCTCCCATGCCTTTCACATTGTACCAGGAGCCTGGTCATGGTTAGTATTGTTTTTCTGAGCCCCCTCCTCCAGAGCCCCAGTTTCTGAGTGCAAATCTAAGACACAGCACTTGTGTATGCAGGCTTTCTGCAACAGCACCAGCCCTATGCATCTCATCACCTCATGACCCATCCTTGGTAGTTCTGTATTCCTCTATCTATACTGTATTTCTCAAGCTACTTCTTACAAGCAAAAGTGTCTCAGGAATCCTTTGCAATCTAATTTGGTCTATCAAAATATAGTGACTCCACATGCCTCTAAACCCAGAAACTGCACGTGGTTCTTTAAGCCACCTAAGAGACAGACTCCATATCAGCAGACTGGGGTAAGCACAGTCTCAGCTGTGAGGCTCTGTGGGATTTCTCCATCAGGTAGGCAGGCTGGGCCATGCAGACCTGCTGGTGCCCCTCAGGATTCTGTGCTACTGCAGGAGTCCAGGTGTCAAAGCTGAGGGGCTCTATGTCGGGTTTTTATTTTTCCCTGAAAGCTGTTGTGTGTGGGATGTGAGTTAATGGAAGAATTTAGGACTAAGCTAGAGAAGCATCCCTGTGGCTTGATGGAAGAAAAGTATCCAGAGATCCCCTCAAGGAAAGCAGCATCGGGCAACTTGACATATCTTTCAACTCTATGTGGTTTGGTAGCAACATTTAGTAACTAGAACAGACTGCAGTATTTTTTTCTCTCCTTATAGTCACCTTAACAATGTCTCTGTGTTTAAGACACAGAGAGGTGTCTTTGAGAGGTGAGTGCAAGAATGTGAGGATGTGATCCCCCAAGCTGGGTGAGATTCATCTCACAGTAGAGTTGAAGCTCTTGGAAGTCCATGGGTTTCTTTCAGATACTCACTGAAATGTTTTCTGTACAATTAGAATTAACTTACCTTGTCCAGAAAATATAATTGTCTAGGTGTATGTAAGTTTATTAAATTGATCAGAAAACAAATGCTAGTTGTTAAATAATAATGATTTCTTGCACAAACAGCCATCAGTGGCCTATGTACATACCACGCCGGGCCTACCTTCAGGCTGGGAAGAAAGAAAAGATGCTAAGGGACGCACATACTATGTCAATCATAACAATCGAACCACAACATGGACTCGACCAATCATGCAGGTATGAAGATCACCATCCAACCTAAAATCACAGGCCATAACAGCCAAGATGGATATGACCTACATCCTATTCCCAATGTTTATGTACTGTTCAGAAGGACTTGTGTTTTCAAAAGTTGCTGAAGAACCACATGCATTTCTTTAAGTGTAATTTTGCCTTCGGAAGACTTGGTCTTCAAATCAGCCTGGCCTTGGATACATTTTATTTTGTTATTGTTTTGTTTTTATATTTTGTAGTGCTAGGGATTGAACATGCTAGGTAAGCACTTTACCCCTGAGCTACACCCCAGACCTTGGTCAGATTTTTTCAAGTGTGATATGCAAGGTATTTTCCAAGTCCAAGCCTATTGCAGTGTAAAGCTTCTGCCCCTGCTGCCCCTTCTTCTTTTCCAAAGCTAGTTTCTATGCAGACCAGTGATTCATTTTTATTTCTCTTGAATGTGTTTCCCCATCCTTTCCCCCATTATTATGTTTAATTATTTCCTCCATGCTTTAAATAGGCCAGACCTCTTATTATTGCTGTGTGTGTTGTTGTTTGGGTTCACACTCCTAATCACACACAGGGAGATCCTCATATGAAGCTAACTTGTTTTTGCCTTCAAAATAGCTTGCAGAAGATGGTGCCTCTGGATCAGCCACAAACAGTAACAACCACCTAATCGAGCCTCAGATCCGCCGGCCTCGTAGTCTCAGTTCGCCAACAGTAACTTTATCTGCCCCACTGGAGGTGAGAAGGCTACCTCGTCCAACCAGGGTCACCTCTGTCGTGTGGCTTCTCATTCTTTCTCTTTTCTCTCTTAACTTGGCCTTCAGTTTTGCAGCCAACTCCTCTCTGCTCAGCCGTATGTTGCTGGTGAGGGGTGTTCTGTGCAGACTCCCTACATGCTTCTCTGTCTGGCCCAGATAACATCCTGGACCCTCACACAATTCTCATTCTCATTTGGCTGACACCGTACGTCGTAACTTGTGCTGGATGTGGGCACGCTCTTTTCAGAACTTTTACCATTCTTGTGTTTTGCTCCTTATTGCCTGTTACCTCATTAGAACTGCCTGATAACTCTTTGCAATACCAATGCTTATATTGAGTTTTTAAACATAGCTGTTGCTTTGATCATTCTTTTTTCTTTGACTGTAGGGTCTTTCATTGTATGGGCGTTCATGTTTCTGATGCATATCTTTATCCTTAAATCATTGCTGGACATCTGCTTGTGCACTCTCCTGTTTGTGTTGTTTTAGTGCCGTTACAAATGTCAGAGAGCTAGAAAAGCCAGAGAGTAAATGTTTGAAGTTCTAAACTTGACTGTGCCCTAGAGATGGCTGTGGGTTCTTCCTTGCTCTGGTCAAGCTGCTGCTAAGTGGAATGGGTGATTGCTTTTGCAGACTGTCATGTAAATGTCATGGGTCACAACTATGTCATTCCAGTTGGCTTCATTAGTGGAGGTTTTTATTTCTGTGCTCTAAAATTTGCCAATCTGTTCTTCATTAGACTGTGAGCTCATTAAGAGCAGGGACACATTTTTCTCCATTCTGTAAAATCTCTATCCATAATGTTTAATACAGAATAATATTTCTGATACATACCCAGTGGCTACCAAATATTGGTAGTTATAAATACTTAATACTGTTGTGTGTTTAACCAACAACTAAGAAGTAGTGTAGAAAAGGAGAAAAAGTATAAAGTTAGACTGATTTGAAAGAAAATGAGTGAAGAAACAGGTTTTTAGGAGCTTCTCCCTGTCCGTCTCCAAGGAAGAGCATTCTACAGTACCCAGGTACATTTTGATACATTGGAATAGCACATGGCAAAGAGTTCTAATGCTCATTATTATTCCTTAGGGTGCCAAGGATTCACCCATACGCCGGGCTGTGAAAGATACTCTTTCCAATCCACAGTCCCCACAGCCATCACCTTACAACTCCCCCAAACCACAACACAAAGTCACACAGAGCTTCCTGCCACCTGGCTGGGAAATGAGGATAGCTCCCAACGGCCGGCCTTTCTTCATTGACCATAACACAAAGACTACGACATGGGTAAGGCTGCTGCTTTTATTTGGCACCATTTTCACCTTGAAGTCTGGCATTACTTCTGGCTTCCCATACTCGGTGCTCATACTTCTCATACAGGAGTGTCTATGAGGCTGTCTCACAGGGTTCTCAGGGTAGTGGGCTGGTGAGTGTGGAGACAGAACCTGATGGTCGGGGCCCAGTGCCAGCTTGCCCTGCGTTCCTCACAGCACTCCTACAGAGCACCGGTTTTGACAACTGGCCACATTTGAGAAATGGGTGGCCCTCCATATTGCTAGGATTTTGATGTTACCATAGCACATCTTACGCCATTGCAATTTTATAAGGAATTATAATCTTTCTAAAGATATTTTTTGTTTGTCCATTTCTTTTTGCATCAGTATTGACGTAACCCCTGTTATTTGATTTGTCACTTTTTTTAGTTCAATCACATTAGTATTTTGCATTTCTATATTACATTTTAAGCCCTTTATGTAGTGTATGACTTGGTTGTAAAATCTGATCATTCTTTTCAGTATTTTGTAAAAAAATTATTTTTCTTATCCTGCTGCACTTTTCCTGTGCTCCCGAATCATGAGTGAGAAAAGGTCTGTGTGTTGTATTAACTTAGGCAAAACGAGATTAAGCAAAGTGAATATGCATATCTTTATATTCGTCTATCAGACATTTTTTCAGTTGAGCCAGTGGTGGCTTTTTCAAGGTAGCATGTAGTTCTTTTAAAAGTCTGTTGGTATTTTTCTAATGTATAATCTCTAGAACTACAATTGAACTGAAGTAAGTTCTCTTATTTCTGGCTTGTTTGGGTACTACAAGTTGTTTGTTTTTTATATCCCCATCTAATTGTCTGGGTAGAGTTAACTCAGAGATAACTTAGTCCCATCATTTGTGCTGCTTACTTAGAACTGGTGTTATTTGAAAGCCGGTTAAGTATTGGAGATTTGTCCCTGGCCTAGGTTCTTCAGTGTTGTCTTGAATATAAACTTGCACTTTAAATTCCCATTTCTAGTGATGGACCCCTAGCATGTCCAGCTAGTCCCTGGAACAGCAGCGTATGTTAAGGAGTTTCTACTTGGCCCATTGTGTGATGTTAATCCAGTCCTGTAACAATTAGACTGGAAGGCACTCCCTTAAGTCCTGTGGACCATAATACAGCATGTCCCTTGAGGGCATTCTTGGCACTTGGGGCAGCCCTGTGCTTTCTCCTGTGGGATGTTTCACATCCTTGGCTCCTGGCACTGAATGTTAATAGCTGCCATCACTCCCTTCACCAATATACCGATAACCAAAAATGCTCCACACATTTCCAAACACTCCTCAGTGAGAACCACTCTAAAAGCTCTTCCTATTTTGTAGTAAAAGAATTTAGTGACCTGCCAAGAACACTTATCATTGAGATCTGATGACATTCATTTGGTAAACTGATAACTACTTCTAAAGCATCTAATGACATGGAGGTTTGTTTGACTCACCTTTTAGTCTGAGATGGTATTACAGGTTTGTGGGCCAGATAGGACTAAAGACAGGCAGCTCTTTGGAAAACAGAGTAATAAAGATTGGTTTTAGGTGGGTTTTTTGTCATTGACACAGAACCTGTGGCTGACCTACAGGTGTTCCCCTTTCCCATACCGCTTCTGTAGTTTCAAACCCTCAGCCAGAAATTGGAGCTCCAGAAACAGGGGGTAAATGTTGTAAAAGTAAATGGATTAGTGTATGGAGCCACTGTGGCTTGCCAACATAAGCTATGATTTTAGTAATCTGAACTAGCTTAGTAATCAAATCCCCTAACCTTTTCACAGCCTTTCACGCCATAACTGCACTGTAATTGCAACTGGGCAGATTTTATTTTAAATAGCACTACCTTATTTATTGCCAGCATTGTTGCTGAATGAAACCCAGTTTTAACTTTCAGTTGTCTCTTTCTACCCAGATACTTGTTACTAATTCACTCACTTAAAATTGCTAAAACATTTTGTTGCTGCTGCTGCCACTGCTATTGAAGATCCTTAAGGCAACAACTGGAAATTCCCCAAGTTGCTGCCCTTCTTAAGTAAACTTAGATGTGCTGCCACAGCTGTGTTATCTCATATCAACAAAGACCTGCACAGAATTCTCAGTATGGAAGACACACTCTAAATTACATGTGCATTTCAGCGGAAGTATGGAGGGGGAGGGTACTGTCGGGATCATTTTTGGCTCAAAACCTGTTTCAAGTTGATTTGGGGGTTTGTTTTGTTTTTTAAAAAGAATAATTGAGAAGGTATCATACATCTTTATGCTTCTGAGATTCATTAAAATAGTAAAAGGAAGAAAACTGGTAGGACAGGTTGAGAGTAAAGAAAATAATACTTCCTGCTTTGGCCTGGATGCTATTTACACTAGTCTAGTCAGAAGTATGAGAATATTCAGGCCATTTCCCTCTGCGCACTGATAGAGTAAAATTCCATTTCAAGTCTATTTTAAGACCCGTTCATCTATACATACAAATGAGGCACACAGCATGCCCGTAGTCCATTTGGGAAATATACCTGGCCACGTTCTAAAGAAATGGTTTTGTTTTGTCCTCTCCTGGGTCATGCTGCCAGGGAATGAGTGCTAGAGGCCACCAGGAGGCCTGGGCTTGCCATGGAGCAGCTCAAAGCTTTAGCACAGTTTTGTAAAAAAAAAAGTTTATACCGTAGTGTCTCAGTTTTGTATTTATACTCAAGTTCAACATAATAAGATTGATTGTAGCCTAGCCATTATTGCCCGTCTCTTCCAGGATAGAAAATATAAAGGATAAAGCACAGGTTTGTTTTTTTTTTACTAATCAGTATTCTCATATTTTATATACTGTTAAATAAGGAAACCTTTTTCAGAAAACAAAGAGTCGTCTTTACATTCTGTTTAAAAATTTTCAACTGGATTGAGGGAAGCAATTAATTATCCATTGCCCTTACTGTGCTGAGAAAAGGGGGAAACGGCCAAGTATGTTTACATATTTCATTCATTTATATTCATGTCTTGTGCAGCCTCGTTAGTATTCCAGCTTGCCATCATTCCTAAAGTTGGCCATAACTACTGCTGGTCCTTTACTGCCACCTCCTACTCCAGTGATGGCCAACTTTTGAGAGCTTTCAGTGATAAAAAACAGCCAGCTGTGGCACACATGCCGTAGGTTTGCCACCACTGTCCTACTGCATCAGCTGTGGGGTGCCTTCCTCCTTGGGTGTTTTAGGGTCCTCATAGGGAGAGTGATTTCAGTAGTCACCACCAGACAGCTGTCAAGTTTGGTTCACAGCAGCAGTTGCCATTATTTTGATTAATGTTGGTAAAATAAATGATATGATCCCTTAGGGCTTCTGGTCCTTACACTCTGTGAAGCCTGGGTTTCCATGCAAGGCCATTTTAGCACGCCTGTGAAATTTTATATTTTATACTTTTGTTACACACACCCCCCCCCGTTCCCTAGCACTCTTCTTTAATCTTAGTTATTCTCTTCCTCCCTCCCTCCCTCTCCCTCTCTCTCCCCCTCCCCAAATCACTAGCTTTTTGCCACAAAACGCACAGCTGATTATGATTCTAAGACAGAGCTGACCTTGCATATAGCATCCAGAACCCTGCCTCCTCTCATGTGGTAGCTGTCCAAGGCTTTCTCTAAACCTGGCATGGTCATTGGCATGGGGGCCCAAACTCCCTGGGAGCTGTATCCTTACCTAGTCTAGCCTAGAGTTAGAATTGAGTGGATAGCTTTTATGGATTTTGATGCTTTAAACCTTTCCTCTGTCTACAGTTAAGCAGTCAAAAATATTTACCAGATTATCTATATGTTTAACACATTTCTGTACTCTCTATATCTTCACTGTAGTACTATAGAATTCCAGACTCACTTTGTACCACTTCTCAGACTTTTAAAAAGAGATTAGATTCAGGGTCACCATTAATTACAAACTGCTAAGATGATTTATTTCTTCCACTAAAAGTTTGCTGTACTTAACAGAAGGCAAAGGTTAATTTTATTTCTGTGATCTTTTTATTTTTATCACTTCCCAAAATTTATCTATGGATGCTATATGGCTTTTGCTGTGACTCAAGGAATTGTTGAAGCAACAAACTTTTAGTAACTTGACAGCAGCAAAGGCTGGAAAATAATTGAATTAAGCTAGTGTCAGATGTCTTAAGGGTTTGCTTTTTAATCTTGGGCAGATAATGTGTTATTCTAGTTGAAAATATATTTTTCTGAGTTTTGTGAATCTTTTGAGTTTAAAGACGTGGATCATCCCAGTTCCATCATATTTAATTGGGCAGCTCCCAGTCTCGGTCATAACCTATGGCCAAATCTGTATTTTTGCTGATACTTTTTCTCATCTAAAGAAACAGAGACCACATGTCCGACCTCCTAATAAGGAGTGTTGCAAAATCATGTCTGACAATTCTTTGTAAATCAAGCGTGACCCAAGATGTCAGTACGCATTTTTCTTTTCTTGATTCTCCGTGGTATTTTATGAGGCATACTCCTTAAGAAAAACTCTTATACATTTTTATATTAAAACATAAATGAGAACCCACCGTGCAGAACTTGGTGGGAATCGCAATAAAGCTTCATAGTTGGGTACTTGATTTCTTACAGTGAAGCAGGCTATATCAGGAGCAACCACATGACTTGCCAGTTAGACCAGATTCAGAAACCCTGCCTACCTCAGGAAGCAGCAGAGAGACACAGGCACTGATGGGGTGCTGCTCCTATGTATCAAGACCCCAAGGGAGACATACAAACCCTTGCCCCCTCCCATCTGGAACAGAGTCATGTCATCACTGGCACTCTTTGTTCTGATTTCCATAACACTGCTAGGACCCTGTCCCCTGTCACCTTTCCAAAGTCTGGGGGAAATAGTTCACCTTTTTAAATATTTATACCCTCCTTCTTTCACTGAGCAGAAGGTAAAGAGTAGAGACTTGAGAGATGGTTAACCAGGCTTTCTGTAAAAAGCAAAGTGGTGGGATCCTTCCCATATACTACTCACAAACAACCTTGTTGCAACATTCCAAGGAGGGAAGGAATCCATATCTGCATACAGAGTCCCTCTTAACATCTTCCACCTTTTCCATTTTTTCTTGCAGGAAGATCCACGCCTGAAATTTCCAGTACATATGCGATCAAAGGCATCTTTAAACCCCAATGACCTTGGCCCTCTTCCGGTGAGTGTACTGGAGATGCATGGAATGTTCTGAAAGCATTTGTTCAATAATCTGCCCAGTGTTGATGGAGAGGCCCTGTGAGTCTTCTCTTTCTCCAGGCTTCCTCGGTCTTCCTCGGTGTTTGTTAGTAGGGCTGAATTTTTGTTGGCATTCTAAGTCTACATTGCAGTGTATGTGATACCACCACTCGAGAAATAAGTTTCTGAGTTGCTAGGCACTTAGTGGAAGGAAGTGCTAGGCACTTGAACTAGAATATGCAAGAGGCATTCACTTCAGGTGGCAATGTAAGCAGCACACATTTATTTTACAAGTTAATAACCACAGAGCTCCATCCGTTTGCTGATGTAGTCATAGCAAAAAAAATACTGAAAACAGTGTGGGAGAAAAAAGGTATAAGTAATCACCGGAAGTTTCTGTAAGTCACTTACCCTGCAAATATTTTCAGTTTTTTCTCCCTTGTGGGTGACTATAAATCTAATGTTTTACCAGCTTGTTTTCTTTGGGAGAGTGGAGCTCTTTGGTCCAAATGGATTTTGAATGAAACTTCATTGTGCATCTTCCTCAACAACCTGCTCATAAAGAAAGCTGGAGGGTAGGGGGCAGAAGGTTGGGTGCTAAGACTAATGTTAAGTGGGATTTGTGCAGCTGTGTGTGTGTGTTGTCTTCCAAGCATAAGAACCTTTCTTTTGACCAGCGTAGGATATAGTACAGCAAAAAATTTCCCTTTTTTATTAGTATATGTTTGTAATGCATAATAAATACATTCATTATGGGGAATTGACACATATACATATCACATCTTCATCTTTTTTACTTCCCCTTCCCCTCATTATGGCAAAATTTAGGGCTACAAAAGTTAGGATTCATGTTTTATTCATTTATAACACATATATCCCTCATTATCCAAATCTGTTTGGTTCCTGGGTTCAGAGGGAGAGAGCCTGGAGAATAAATTTAGAAAGTATGTTGTCTGAGTCCATTGGATTCCTGAGTCTCATTTGGCAAGTAGGGACAGTTCAGATAATGAAGGCATACCAGCCTTGTCCTAAAAAATTATTCAAATCATTTACTTCCTGCAGGAACAAAAGGCACCCTTCAGTAGGGTTAAAATAAAGACCCAGGTCCTTGTTAGAGGGCAGAAGAAGTAGGCTCTGTGTGCCTATGAGCAGCAAGCAGTTTCCATTCAGTTTTATGGTTTGAAACTGTGGTTTTGACACCTGCCTGTGTGCCCACAACACTGCCCCGCCTAGTGCAGGTTCCCATGCTTACCCCAATTCTCCCATTAGCCCACAAGACCAAACCCCTAGCAACAAGCCCAATATCCAGTCAATCAAGTGTTGACCCTCAGGGAGGTGGAGACAGGGCCCCTAACCCCATAAAACAGGATTGCAGCCCCAGATTCAGCACTATCCCAGCTGTGGGCCCTGCCATACCTCTGAAGTGGCTCTTTACCACTTCCTCTTACAATACCTACAATAAAATTATTTTTACTTTGCACGAGTCTTCTGTTCTGACTCCTTTTCCTCTTTCTGTGTTAGAGAGAGAGAGAGACAAGCCCAGCAAAGGTGAGTCTAGGGATCCTAGACCCAAGATCTGCTGGATATAACAGTTCCTGAGTTTGAATAGTGAGAGTTAAGAGCAAAGAATACCAGTGTTGTGGTGTTTAGCCACTTAACACAAATAAAGTCACTGTGTCTGCCATACTTTTATCAGCTCTTCTCCTCCCTCACTGTAGCACTCAGTATTTACTTAACCAAGTAAGCTTTTCAACCTCAGCTTTCATGTATGCCAAGGTTCTGTGTGGTGCTTTTGAAAGAACACTCCTGTTTCTTGTTCATCACATAGAGAATGCATCTGAGATGGTGGAATGTATGTATGTGGCTAGATCTTATTAGGAGTTAACCAGTAATGTTTATGTCTATTCTCAATGTAAACATGTACCTTCCGAGAGAAGACAATGAAAAGTTTCCCTAATGTTTTAAATAATTACCTTCCATAGTGGACCTGCTAACTAATATTTATATTCTTTCTTCTCCCCTTTGCGGATACTAGCCTGGCTGGGAAGAAAGAATTCACCTGGATGGCCGCACGTTTTATATTGACCATAGTAAGTAGGCACTGCTGTGGACGTATGGGTGTGGCAGGGTAATGGGAGCCGAGGGGATTCAAATATGATAGTGAAAGCTGTGTCATTTCACTCTTTGTCCAGGCAGCCAGGTGTTATGTGGAGAGAATGATACCAGAGAGTCAGTGCCCTCGCACGGTACTGTGCCTTCACCCTCAGTTTGCTTTCCAGTGGCCCAAGCTTTCGCCCAATTTGACCTTGTGACCTATTAACTTTTTTTATAATTAAAAGAAACATTTTTTTTGGTTGACGATCCCTTGATATTTGCGCTTTTATTAAACACACTCTGGAAATAGAAAATAAGATTAGAAGCAGTGATTTAGTCAAAACAAATTATGTGTGAACAGTGCATTTAGCTGCATGTAACTTTTTAGAGCACTGCCTTCAAAGGTCTTATGGCGAGATGCCCATTCTGACCTTATTTTCTATTCATAGCATGTTTCCTTGCACCCAACACACTAATATATATATATATATATATATATATATATATATATATATAGTTGTTTTCTTGAAATTGTAGTATATTTACTGAAAACATTTGCCCCAGCACCTGTGAATAAATGTGTGGTTTCTCATTTCAACTAAAAGTTACACTAATAAATGTCTGCTTTTTAGCGGGGTGGGGGGGGCTCTTTTTTCTTTCTTTCTGTTTTTTTTTTTTTTAGGTGACATGTTCTTCATGGAATCATATTTTTATACCCCTTAAAACTTCGGAAAAAGTGTATTAAGACTCCAAATAGATGTAAAGTTCAAATTGTGTGTACAGTTTGGTAGTATTCTGGCCTTTGTTTTCACTTGGTTCAAAAACAGGAGGTCTGTGCCAGGTTTTCCCACATTTTCATAACTAAATGAAAGCACATTAATAAGCCACTTGCTGAAGAGCCTGGCCTTTGTATATACAGAACTTGTCTCTGCCTCACTTATGGCCTTCCAGATGTCACTAGGGCACCAAGTGCATTGCCGGGGGACTTTGTTCTCTGGCATGTAAGTTTCAGGCAGTGGTGGCGAATCTATGGCATGCGTGCCACAGCGGGCTGTTTGTTATCATTGAAAGCTCTAAAAGATTCACCGTCACTGGTTTAAGGGATTAGTATAAATTGAATTAAGCAACAAGTCCAGCAATTCAGAATTAAGCCAAAAGTAGCAGTCTTTTATTGGGGGAAAGATACCTTTAGATTTAAATAAGATATTTCAAGACATACAGACTTAGTTCTCATCTTTGATCAGAAAAACATTCTCATTTGCATAATTTCCAAAATTCTTCTGGAATGTCTAGCCCTCATGAGAAAGATGTCATTTTTCTCAAGACCAGATGTACCCAGCAGCTGAATCATTGGCCACAGGTATCTTAAATATAAAAGTTAAAAGAGAAGAAATTCCATTGGTTCTTGGTTTGGTCTTCCCTGCCAAGAGTCTTGCCAGACCTGTTAGCAGTAGCTAAATTGGCTGTTTCTCATCCTTCTACTTCTTTTGTGCCCTTTTATTTGAAATATAATGTCTCAAAGATGAAAAGGAAATTTAGACTCAAAAGTTCTTAAAATTGTATAACTGGCCACCATACATTCATACACTAACAACACTTAGCTTCAAAATTGATCTTTATTGTAACCACACAGGAACCAGAACCTGGTTCTGAAAGGTTCTGTTTTAAAGGAACTTTTCACCATCAACTTCACTCAGTCATTAAAAAGATAACATATTGAGCTCTTATTACATGCCAGAACCAATGTCAGATGGTAGCAAGGGGGTTGCCGAGATGAGTAACACACAGCTCCTGTCCTCAAGGGGCTTACATCCAGAGAGAGTGCCAGGAGAGGTGCCTTAGCTGTTGTCAGCAGTTTGAACCAGTTACTTGGGTGCTGGGGTGAGGGAGGCTGAAAAGAGTGGTACAGAGTGGGTTGACTTTCAGATAGGTTTCAAACACCAGGAAGCACCGAGCCTGGCAGGCCCAACAAAGAGCAGCCATCTGAAAGGGAAGACGTATGCAGGTGTACACTTTTGTGCAGACTATGCCATGTTCAGAGAAGGGCCACCATGTTCCACCCAGCTGATGTGCAGACAAGGCTGGTGTGGCACCCAGACCAAGTCACAAGGTGTCTGCCAAGTGTGGAGCCTCTGGTTCATTCTGCAAGCAGTGTGGAGCTCAAGGGGGCTTCTCGAGATGGGAATGGCAGTAGTCTGCTGCATGCTTTAGCACAATCCTTTCAGCAGAGCTGTCAAAAAAGTCTTGAAGAGGCTGGGGATGTAGCTCAATGGTGATGTGCCTGCCTGGCAAGCACAAGGTCCTGAATTCAATCCCCAGTACCAGGAAAAAAAAAAAAAAAGAGAAAATCTTGAATAGGATTGAATGAGACCAAGACCAGGGAAGCCTAGAGAATAATCTAGGAAAAAGATGAATGCTCCAGCAAGAAGCCTAGGAGAGAGGGGCACAGTTCAGTGACCACCGGGGAGTTGTGAGGCCAGGGCCGAGTTCCTGATTTGGACAGTGAATGGATCGTGGTAACTGCTAGCCTGCAAGAGAGGGTTGCATGAGCAGTTGTGGTGATGGTCTTCCTGGTTTGGGTAGGGTGCTCAGGACCCTGTGGGAAATCCAGATACAAATAGATGTCTACGATGACACTTGCAGTTCAGGTCTGGTCAGAGGATTTGGGAGTCCCCACGTGTTGGCAATAGGCAGTTTATTTTCTGTTTCAGTGATAAAATACAGTCAATACAGTCATAATCCGAGTTGATATTTTAAGGCACAGTTTTTACTGAGCTGTATTTGGGTTCTTTATTTGGTTGTCTTTTCTTTTCCACCACAATAGCAACTTCTACTTTTCAAAGTCTTCTGTTTTCAAGGTAAAGGACCCAAAAATGCCTTTTGCTTCCACTTAGGTTCTCAAATGCAATTGAGATTTAATGTAAATGTTCTGCCCCCATGAAAACAAAGGATTCTAGGCTGATCATGTACCTGAGGAGCTTTTTTTAACTTTACTTCTGATTTAGTTAAAGTAATACAAGACTTTTAGAAATTCCTGGCACTTACTAAAGCTGAATTCATTAGTTACTGTCAGCCCAATTACAGGGTAACCATACACACGGTTACTTTTCAGACAATTTTCTTCCCCTTCTCCCCTTTTTTGACCATCTTGGAAGACCCATCTCCCCCAGTCTGCCCTACCTATATCTTTCATAGGAGCCTCTTTAGCCCTGGCCCTCCAACACATACAGAGGGATCCCTGAAATCTTACTTAGGCACAACTATAAATCTCCAGTGACCCAGGACATCTGTTGTGCGTTGTTACCTGGACAAGTAGCAATGTAGGTAGCATTGAGCAGTCATGCTTTCTTTGACTCATTTGAAAGAAGGAAAATCCCCTCTACTAGCCTGGCCTACAGGGAAACTATTCTCTGAAGTTTTCATTGACTGTGTCTAATTCTCTCTTTTTGGACTGCCATAGTTGCTTTGATTTTTGTGTGCGTGTGAGTGACGCATGTATTGGATTATTCATTTGTTCAGTGCAGGATTCCTAATTGAAAGCAGTTTTTCAACACCATAAACGAAGAAAAAACTATTTGAAATGACAAAAAATCCTATGTGTTTGTTAACCTTCTAAGGAACTAAAACTTTTTGTGCCTTTTTTTAATTAAATGAAAATCAAGATCAAATTATAAATCCTTGAGAGGACAAGGGTTTATAATTAAAATGACAACTGATTGCCTGCCAACAGCAGTGCAAATAGATGGTTCCAGTTTAGTTGTGCATTTTTGATTAAGTATTTTTAACTAAACAGAATGTGAGGAATTTACCACGTAGAGTATTGTTACCTTCTAACCCTAACATACTAAATTTTATCTCTGGGGGACAGAATAGGGGACTGGACAACTTTTGAAGAATCCAGAAATAGTTCTTTCTGAAACATCCTTTATATAAAATAGATTTGAAGTAATGTGCTGATTTTTTTTTTTCTTTTTTAACCTTTCAGATAGCAAAATAACCCAGTGGGAAGACCCGAGACTGCAGAACCCAGCTATCACTGGTCCGGTCAGTATTCTGTTTCTGACTCTTTGGTATAAATTTTGATTCCATCTAAACATGTGTTTCTTGTGTATTACACCAGGGACCTGGTGCATTCGAATAGATTAACATTCTTTCTGTCTCCTCCTTACCATTTCTAGGTATGGCTGTATGTGCCTTTTCACCAAGACTTTCATTTTAAAGGGATAGAAAGTGGTTTAGTAATGGTAGCACATTTAGGTGTTTCTTCTCCTTTGTAAAAAGGTAACTTTAAAGTACAAATCCTCCCAGCCCCTGTGTATGTAGAGTATTGCCATTTATTTAGGCCAAGGTTAGTGAATATGTGCCAATACATTTAAATTTCTTCCAGCTTAAACATCTGTAGACACCTTTCTGATGAGGTTGCTTCCTTAGGGTGCTTGCAGAGTCAAGAATCTTCAACTCTGCTGACCCACTGACTTTTTCTTACTCATGCCAGGTAGAAAAAGAGTCCATTCTAACTTAGGTACAGTGACCTCCTAAGAAGTTTGCAGCACACTGTGTTCATAGAAGAAGAGAGAATTCACTTGTTGTGGAACCCTATGGATGGTTCTATAGGATGGGACAACACTCACCATATCCCAGTAGCTTTTGCTGGTAGTTATAGGCATGTGCAGAAATAATTTGGAATTATAGGAAAAGTCCCAGGTTCAGCAAAAGATTATAGATTTGTGGCCTTTTTAAAAAATTGGGACTGGGAGTGTAGCATAGTAGCAGAATACTTCCCTAGTATGTATGTATGCATATATGTAGTTCTGGGTTCTTTCCCCAGAACTGCCAAAAGAAAATTCCCTAAAAGACTGGAGAAAGAAAAGGAACTAAAGTTTATTCTATCAAGCAGTAAGCCAAGGGCCCAATAGTTATATTTAAAATACCAATTTTGTCATTTTGATCTGATCTAAAATTGTTTTAAAGTATAAAAATTTGTATATATGAGAACTTAGAAGATTTTACAATACAAACGTACATCGATAACTGACATCCCTTTAGCCATTTGTTGTATACTTTTGTTGTATTTGTTCAGCTACATTGGTACTGTTTCCTGTTCAAAGTGTTCCCCAAAAATTATTACCTACTTTTTCTTCTGTGTAGCTTCAAAAAGTCTTACTACAATGGCTTGTTTTTTCACATACAGTCACAGTGGGTTGTTAGAAAAGTGTTTTCCACTCTATATCATTAGAATCTAGGTAAATTCAAGAAACTACATTTTTTAGTGGCAGAAAACGGTTCGTGTGATGATAATTTAAAAGTTTTCAACTATGTCTGTCGTTTATCAGTCACCTACCTTCACTCCAACACTGCTAGTCCTTATTAAGTGTTGAAAATTATTTAGCCTCTTAAATTCAGGTGGTCTCACTCTCAAGTAAGGTCTCTATTTCTTTCTGTCTCCTAAGACCTTTGTTTCTTCTTCTATTATTATTGGTGATGCTGCTTTCGGTAACAGTATGTATACTTAGGGTGGTTATCAACTTAGCATAGACATTTGGCATTTGGTGTATTATTCTAAATATATTTAAAAAAACAATAAATAAATAAATAAATAGCAGCTTTCATATGATTTTTATTCTTGACTTTATAATTGCTTAGAATCCGCTTTTTAGTGTCTTAAGAGGTATGAAGGGGTCTCACCTATCCAATTATTGTTTCTAATTTTCTTGCATTGTAGTTAGAGAATATTGCCTATGGAATATTATCAGATATTTGAAGTTTCCTTGGAGTCTTGGTCATCTTTTGTAAATGTTCTTTTTGTGTTTTTAAAAAATATGTGTTGTTGCTGGGGGTTTAGCTCAGTGGTTTCGTCGCCTGCTGCACAAGCGCAAGGACCCGAGTTTGATCCCCGGTACCAAAAAAAAACCAAAAAAACAAAAATATGTATTGTGTCTTTGGTTGGATATAGAGTTCTTTATGTGTCCATCGGGTCAAGCCTGTAGCATTGAGGTCGTCTATCTCCTCATTACTATTTTTCCTGACTACATGCTCTAATCAAAGAGTTATGTTAAAATCTCCATAGTAATTGTTGCTTGATCAATTTTTTTCTGAGATTTATGTAATTACATTCATTCTCTTCTGGTTGCCTAGTGTGTATTTTCTGTCTCTTTACAGTGCCTTGATAGAGTACTTTATATGTGATTGTAAGTTATACTTTCTACTCTTTTAGTGCTCACATTAAAATTCTTAACCAACATGCTCAATTTAAGGTTAAAATTAACAGTCTTTCCTCCTGGATATTATCAGGACCTCAGAGAACATTAATGCCATTCTTTCCCATTCCCATTTTCCATGTCATTATTGGGCAGAGTTTTAAACCACCTTGTCTTTAAACTTTCCAAATATGTTTTATCTTTTTTTCTCCAGTAGTCAGTGTTTATTTAATTTTAGCTATACATAAACAGATTTCTTTGCCCACCATAGTTGTATTCATTTTGTTCCTGGGTTTTCTTCTTAATGAAGTACAGGTCGTGGCTCTCAGTGCACCAGCATCATCTGGGAACTTGTCTGAAATGCAAGTTTTCAGGTCCCACCCCAGACCTGAAGCAACAGCTCTGAGTCAGGGTACACCAGCCTATGTTTTACCGAGCCTTCTCGGGATTCTGATGTCCGCTCAAGGCTGAGAATGATCCCTCTTATGCTTCAACTCTAAATGTCTAATCGCACCTCTCCATTAAATGTTAAGTTCGGCTGATTATAGAATTCTGGGTTATATTCCCTCAGCACTTTAGAGACAGTCCTATGTGTCTTCTGGCCTCCATAACTGAGATGAGACATTTGCTATCATTATAATTGTCATTTCCAGTGGCTAAATCTTTTCTCTGGCGGTTTTGAATTTTTCTCTGTGTCTTTGTTGTTCTGCAGTTTCACTGTCATGAATGTATATGTGGCTTTCTCTTTGTTTATCCTGCTTTGAACTCAAGATTCTTTGGTATGGAGATCATGTCTTTCCTCTGTTATGGAAAATTCTTAGCTGTTATTTCCTCACGCATTCCATTTTTCACACTCTCTGACTGACTTTATAGCTCCGGGCATTTGGTTCACTTTCTGTCTTTCTGAGACTCTTAACTGTCCTTATTCTCTTTATCTCCTCTCTCTCTCTCTCCTTCCCTTTCTCTTGCTCTGCACATGTGTTGCTGTACAGTGAGCTATTACTCAGTTCTCCTACTTAATTCTTTCTTAAGGTTTCTTTTATTCATTTGTCTGTCATTTCAGTGATTATGTTTAAAGTTCTATTTAGTCTTTTAAATTTTGCTTTGTGTTTTTAGACATGCTGTCTTTCTTTTATCACTTATCATTTTAAAAACACTTGGTGACCTCTTTCAGGTTACTCTATTACCTCTGGCCCTAGGGTAGTAAATCTTTTCTTTCTAAGTCTGTAAAGTCTTCATAATGGTGATTTATTATTGGTTTGGTTTACATTTTTAGACTGTGAGTGTGTGTGTTCATCTTCATTGACTTACCGTAGGGCTTTTGTAAGTTCTGACTTGTATTTATAGTCAGCTTACTAGCTTGGGTACATGCCACTCAGGAAAACTGTGAGCCTCATATTCCCTTTGATAGACTCTTGAAGGATGGCTTTATGCTAGGTCTGCGTTTTGTTTTTTCCCATGTATGGTCCAAATAGAAGGTCAGCCTCCTTGCAGCTTTCCTGTGCTCTTTGGTAGAGTTTATTTGCCCTCTTTCAGATGTTAGGGTCTGGGCAGAGGACTCTGCACTAGTCCCCTGGATCACACAGACTCTTGGTCAATTTCTGCATCTCTGTGGGGGAAAGATAAACACCTAAACCCAAGCACCTATATCTAGCTCCAGTGTCCACTTAATTCTCTAATTTTAAGTCTTTCTGCTTATCTGGTACCTATAGTTTTTCTCTTTTTCCCAAATTTTGAAGATATTAGGTCTAGCCAGACATGGTGGCACATGCTTGTAATCTCAGGAGGCTAAAGTAGGATTATGAGTTCAAGGCCAGTCTGAGCTACATATGCATAGTGAGACCTTATCTCAAAAAAAAAAAAAGATACAGATATCGCCAACATTTTTACATATTTTTTAAGGAGGGGGATGGTTCTGTGTATTCTTCTGAATGTGCACTATTACTGTAAGTCCATATGCTTTCTCTCTGACAGATCCCACCCCTAGTAGTACCGGTGAGTGCTGTACATCCACCCTTTTAGAATGAGACCACCTTGTGCTTATGTAATGCTTTGTACTCTTCCAAGAACTTTTTTCATCAGCTGATTTGAAACTCCCAGGAATGCTCTCAGAAAGATAGGGAAGATGTTATTATCCCTAATTTAACAGAGGCTCTGAAAGCAAGTGTCAGACCAGCCCTGAAACCCGGATGTACTGGCATCTGTGATATTTGCACACAGGGCATAAGCCCTTCTCTCCTAGGAGTGTCAGTATCACCTGGATAAGCACAAAAAACGTTGAGAGCCAACCTACACAATAAGGCAGGCTGCACTCTATACAAAGAGAAAACGTATTTAGTACACAACTAAAGGGCTTTAATTCATAGATGTATTCATTTATCAATTAAGTTGATTGTACAAGTTAAATCCTATGTGAGAAAATGAGATGACAGATTTTCAAGAGAGAACAATTAATTTTGGTGTCTGATTCAAGAAATGTAAGTGTAATTCTCTTCAGAAGCTTCAGTGGAGAGATGTCTTTGTCCTGGTACATTCTTGGAATCTTTTCAGGAGAATATAAAAACTTACCTTTCTTACTCTATCCTGACAATTACATGTAGAGAAGAAAGATAGTAACTACTAAAGGAAAATAATAAGTACCCAACTTCCATGCATCATTTCCCAGAAAAGTACAGACAGAAATATCTCAGCATCTTATCTCCACCTACGTCTAGTCAGTACCTACCAGGTTACAAGGCAGGCAAGAGAATGGGTGTCATAGGCTAGGGGCAACATTTTGAAATCTATTCCTTGGGAAATCTATTGCTTAAGACTGTTGATCTTGCATACACAATGATGAATATCCTAGCTGGTAGTAGACTCCTTAGAATCCAGATCTTCTGGAGCCAACAGAAGAGAGTAGAAGGAAATATTGTTTTCAGATTAGTTCCATTGTATCACAGTTCATCCTAGCTGAAGCCATCACCTGGAATGCTTCCCCTCCCTGGGACTTGGCACTCATTCTTCTGGTTGTTTCTTCCTGACTCTCTGGTTTCTATTCAGACAGCCCTGCTCAAGCTGCCTTCCCTGACCACCTCACATAAAATCACTCCCCAGAAACCTTCACTGTTTATAGATCCTTTTTTTTCACCCACACTCATAACAGTTATCTCTATTTATTCACTTATTTCTTACTGCCTATTGCTCCCAAGGGGTTGGAAGCTCCAGAATGACACTGGGAAAGGAATTCTTGCTTTACGTACAATTATTTCCTTAGCACTTAAAATGCCTGGTGCAGAGTAGGTGCTCCAGAAATACCTGCTGAATGAATGAGCGAGTGAACTCCCAAAGAGAGGGAGAGGGAGAAGGAGAGAGAGAGGAATGATGGGAGGGAGGAAATTTTAGTTTGTCATGGGTTATAGTGTTAATGGTGTAGTTATGGGTTGTATTTGTTAGCTTATGTCAGAGCATTGTATCCTTGTCCTTATGTTGATGATTGTCCAGATATTGACAAGAATCAGAATTCATACATGATTTCATCAGAATAAACACTCCCTGAAAAGCATGGGATTATGTAGAAAATTAAATGAAGATGGACTTAAAAACTAGGATCAGACCATAGGCAGTATGAATTGTCTTTAGAACATTAAGATATATAAATATGATATGTCAAATTCAAAACAAATGACATGTAAAGAGTAGTTATTTTGTTTGGGGATATGTATAATCATATCTTAAAACAGAAGATGGAGGACAGAAGCTTTTCTTCTTCATTTTGTCTCTTTAGGTCAAGAATAAGCTGTTATAAGATCTGGCAACGTTTTACCGAGGATAGTATGTTTTACTGCCTTAGTCCAGAATGATATCACCAGAAGTATTCTCTGCCAAAATTCATACTGTTCACTGAAAAGTAGCCTATACTCTGAGTGTGAGGCCATCACATCTATATCTATCTATCTATATATATCTATATCTATCTGTGTATGTGTATATATATATATATATACACACACACACACAAAGGCCAGTCTGTTTTGCCGCATAAAAAAATCATATGCCTTTTCAGTAGCTCAAAGTCGGGGCTCTGAATCTAAGCTTCTTTATAACATACCAAATAAAGGCTATTCTGATGACCACTTACAACTGTTATGTTGCCTGAGTAGATACCAGAACTTTTGAACAGTTATAGGTGACTCAGACGCTGGTCTGCTTCGTAGAGAAGGCATTTGTGATTTAAAGAAATTCTTACCCAAAAGCACTAAATAGTAAGGGGCAAATCTAGTGACTCCTCAGTTGAAGATTTCCAGAATGCCATCTGTCCAATTCTATATTCTTTTAAAAGAGTAAAGGATTTACTTCCCTTTCTGCTTATGGAATTTCTCCACAAAGATTTTAAAAGCATGATTAGGCTTCTTAAAATGGCCAGTATCTTAACTATGGGGAGGGGAAAAAATACACACATGTAAAAGACTGAGAAAAGTGACATAGAAAACATGTACTTTGTGTAATATGCTCCTAAATGATTTCTTGACTATTAATATAATTGTTTCCCAGGGTAAAAACTAATTTCAGTGCTAATTAGGCTTAATCAGTTCTAGGAATTGCCCATGTATTCTGTAGATAATATGTAAATTTTCTATGGAAAATATGCAGCATGAATATTTTAAGATTTATGACTCATGAAATTCTCTGAATGCTAGCTTAGTATACACGAAATTTTAAGCATGCTGTTTGCATTATCTGTATTTATAAATTTATCTTCCAGGCTGTTCCTTACTCCAGAGAATTTAAGCAGAAATATGACTACTTTAGGAAGAAATTAAAGAAACCCGTGAGTAATCATCTCTTCCCAGAATGCTATGTTTCAGTCATTCCTAAGTCACCAAAGTTACTTCAGTGAGAAGGAACAACTTTGTTACTTTTACATGTGTACTAAAAATATTACCTTCCTTTGTGCACTGCACTTTGATCCACCTGGATCTTCAATCTGAATTTTCTTTTTAACAGAAATGGTAAGTGAAGATTAACTCAGGATTACATATCAAATCACCTGAAGGGTAATTTCTTATGTAATACAGAGGACAGAAATAAAGGATCTTTGTGGGATATAAAATAACTCAGCATCTTGGTAAAAAAATCTGGGAAAACCATACAATTGCATGTAGTTGTCATATTTTAGAAAACCTATATTCTAGTTAGAAAAGTGTAGTTTTAACTATAATATTTAATTCCAGTATAAAGTTTATAACATAATTATAATACTTGGCAGTACCGGATCCAAGTGTAGTTTTTAAATTATAGTTCTTACTGACAACTTAGAGACAGAACACACTGTAAGGTTTGCATGGGTGGGGCTGTGAACTGCAGTGTTGTGTTGCTCGTTGTGCACCACCCCCAAGTTCTCCTGCATTCCGTCTTCTATTTTCTTCTCATCCACTGCTCCAGTATCAGGGTCTTAGTTTTCTCGACGGTATGCTCAGCGACAGTTGTGGCACCACTGTGAAGGGAAGTGTCAGCTACAGCTGGGCTCACAGCCTTGGCTGGGTCTGGTGCCCCTCTCCTTGCCATCCTCCTAGTTGATACCTTGTGTTCCCAGGTCTGCTGTGGACCAGGTCTTCAGCCTGTGCTGTCTGTCACTCAGAGGTTCCAAAGTCCTGACTCAAGTAACTCATCTATAATGACTTTAAAAGTCATTTTTAAAAAATCAAAAAGTCATTAAAAACTCAGATTTGAATGTATAGGATTCTGTAGGTTCTTGTGACTCATGTGAATGTCCCTAGGCTCACTCTGGCACACTGCTGTGTTCTTCCTGGCCCCACTCCTAGCACAAAGCCAGCCCTGTACCTTGTCCTTCCAGGAGGCCATTCTCACAACTTCAGTCAAGTGCTGTGTTATTTTAGAGTTTGTAATGACCTTTGAGTTACTTTCCCCAAACTCGGCATAATCAGGGGTGCCACAACCCATGACAACAAAATGAACTTGCAACCATGGTAGATCATATATACTACCCAGAGTCCCTCGCGGGGATGAGAATAGAGAAGACAGTAGTCTCAACTTGGTCAGGTGGAGATTATTTGTAGGTTTTGATTACCAGGGCTGAAGTTTCTCTCCTTGATGTGATACATAGAGGTGGCTGCTTTGCTTACCAGTGGGTGGAGAAGTACCCACATTGCTTATAATGGGGCAAAAGGATGGTTTTCTTCTACTCAGAAGATTGTCTTCTGTGGCATGCATTACAGACTCAGCTTGATCAGCTGCAAGCGGACACTCTGTGTCCCTTGATTCTATCTATGCAAAGAAAAACTCCATAAAGGAAAAAAATTCAGTTCAAATCCCTGTCACTGCTCATTTGTTAAAATCCAGCCATCATTTCTACACTTTGTTGATTTTTTTCTGGTAAGCCAGCAAGCATATTTACTATATGATTATGAACTTTTTTTTCTTCTTTGTAGGCTGATATTCCAAACAGATTTGAAATGAAACTACACAGAAATAACATATTTGAGGAGTCCTATCGGAGAATCATGTCTGTAAAAAGACCAGATGTCCTAAAAGCTAGACTATGGATTGAATTTGAGTCAGAGAAAGGTCTGGATTATGGGGGTGTAGCCAGAGAATGGTTCTTCTTACTGTCCAAAGAGATGTTCAACCCCTACTACGGTCTCTTTGAATACTCTGCAACGTAAGTATATGGGTTACATTAGAATGTGTTTTCCATGGAATAGTTTCATTTTTTAATGAATTTAAACTTAATGAGAAAATAAGTAACTCAATTATGATACAAATCAGCACTGCTGATTTTTATTCCCCCTCCACTGCCACCTCTTTAAGATCTAGAACAGGTTCTGAGTCTACATGTTGAAATAATGTACTCTATGAACACCTAAAATTGATTCTTCTCTTGTCTGTTGGGTTCATGGAATTGAAATTGAAATGTGTTTGGATAATTATGGTAAGGAACAGGAGGCACTTTTCATTTGTAGTGTTACATTAATTCAAGAAGAGAATTTGTCAGTGTCAGAATTCAGAAAAAGTCATTAATTATATGAACAAGGTTAGTCTCTAAAGTCACACTCTAAAGGCAAATTATGTGATCTTTGAGGACTCACTTTTGGGGCACAAAGGACCGTGCCTTGGTCTGTAAGGGAAAACCCAAGCTGTCCCTTATGTTAGGATCTCATCGTTGCCAGGCTTGGAAACTAAGGCAGATTGCATTGCTCTCTTAGTGGTCAGACATTGGCTACTTACAAGGCCAACCGTTTTTCTCCAGGTTGAGGATCCTCAAAGGCTAAAGGCTACCCCTGAGTTCCCAGTAGTTATGGACCTTGCCAAGAGGCATTTGGCACCACTCCAGCCCTGGGCTCTAAGGAGATGTAGGTTCTTCAGAGACTTCCACCTGGTGCAAGTCTCTGGGGGCTCATTTACAAGACGTGCCCAGTTTGGTGGTTGGTGGTTGCTACTGAGTTCCATGAGGAAGCTTGCTATGTAAAATTGATAAGCCCCTTGAAGTGGAGGGCTGGATAGCATACAAAATTCTCACCTCTCACCTATGTTCCCAAAGAAACCCCCTAGAGGAGTTTGTCAGTGAAGCCCAGTTTTAAAACTACTGATTGTAATGATTGTGAGAACAAAGAAACATCGGATGCATCCAGACATTTTGAGGTTTGCATTGCTTGAAACAGCAGATTCTGCTCCCTGTGCTCTTGAGGCCTTTTTAGGGGAGAGTGATGGTCAGATAAACCAAGTGTAGGACCCTTAGGAAAAAATCTTATCCCAAACCAAAAGCTTTTGAAGGATTTAACCTTCCATCACCACAGAGACAGTCTGAAGCACTCATGTCATTTGAGAATCTCTCCATGGGCCTCTTTATTATGTGAGCTTTCTTTTATATTCTCAAGATATTTGGCTGAACTATTTGAAATTGATATTTTTACAGATCACAAATAGCCACTCATCAGCAGTTATTGAAAGTTTAACTTACTCTGCAGGATACATGTGTCAGTATTAGTAGACCTCAGTGGTTGGTCACAGAAAGAGCTGACCAAGTGGTGAGTCACATCTCTAGCTTATACCCGTTCCCACTGAGTATAGAATTTTTGTGATTGCATTGGATAAGTCAAGTGACAAGTGACAAAGTAAAATTCAGATTCTTGAAGTTCTTTTTTAAAAGTATGGTTGAGTTTTTCTTCTCTCTTTTCTCCCTAAAAGGGACAACTACACACTTCAGATCAATCCTAATTCAGGCCTCTGTAATGAAGATCATTTGTCTTATTTCACTTTTATTGGAAGAGTTGCTGGTCTGGCAGTATTTCATGGGAAACTATTAGATGGTAAGTTATTAAAAAGTTTTGAAATAAAAAAATAGGACAGTGCTGTTTGTGGTTCTGTAATAGGTGTATTATCGTTAACATTGTAGATTATAAGTACAAGCTTCATTAGTTCTCTTTAATGCAATAAATTATTTTTGTTTACCCATAGTACTGGTCTTTCCCCAGTATCATAGTGGGCACTGAAGACAAATTATCTACCTACAGTTAAAAAAATTTTTTTTTGGACTGTGAAGCACAGAACATTCTGCATTTATGTATTTTGTATGTTTTCCAGAATAACTTTTCTTTAGTGAGAGCTAGATTTGGTGACAGATGGAATAGCTAATTGAAAAGTTATTTAAAATTATCTAATCCATCAATTTCCTCCTATTGTTCCATTTGTCCCCAAATTATTTTTTAATGTGATGAGACTAGATAATTTTCAAGCAATGTATAACTCACAAAGACCTTAACAGTAGAGTCCTTGCTGAAACAGATGACACTGAATGTCATTCTTATTAAAAGCATATAAATCACAGAAAAATTTCAAGTTACATTAAGAATTAGAAATCAGCCTGGCTGATACCTGGCTGTATCATCTGTATCATAGGCGTAGCATACAGATTTCTTATGGCTTATTTTAAAAAATAATAATATCTATAAGACAACACTGCAGAAATCATCAGTGTGGAAAAATCATCAGAATCGTTTTTAAACTTGTGCTTGAAATGCTTGAAGATGAAAGACAGTAAGATTTAAGATAGACATGCCACTGACTAGAGAGAGAGCTATTTGCCAGGGAATTACGTTAATTGGATTTATGGAGCCTGAGCTATTTCAATAAATAATGTATATACCCTTTGTACTTTTCCTTTAGTATATTTTTACTGTTAATTGCTCTCTGATTTTGATGCTCTGATTTCAGTATATTTTGGAGCAGGGGGAGGTAAACACTTTTTTCTGTTTCCGTCTTCCTGTGTGTGTTTGTGGCAGTGGCACTGAGCCTTAGAGTATGTCAGCCTCTTCAGACTCACTTCTATCTTCTTAGGGCAGTTTATTTGCCTTCTGCCAAGTGAAAAGGCACTGCTATTCCTGTGGAAGTATGTAGCATATAGGATGTGGTCCTGAACTCAGTGAACTCGTATTTTAGTGGGGAAAAGAGAAACAAAAGCAAAAGAATCACAGTGAGAGGATTCATGAAGAAGGGAACACAGTGAGTACTCAGAAGGAAAACTGACTTACTGGAGGTGCAGGGATCGTGCCACCTCGGGGGCCAGTAGTGTGTGAGCATCAGAGGCCAGGGCGTTTTAGAAGAGCTTGGGCTGTGCAAGAATCAAGGCTTTGTGATGGGAGAGATGGAACAAAGCAAGTACAGACAGGGAACTAAGAGATTGCTGAGGGGGTGCTTACAAATGGGGATCACGGTGTGCCAGGCATAGCAGGACTGAGAGCCATAGTGCCCACAGATGTGTGTGATCTGCAGGTCTTCAGCTTCCTAAAAATGACAATGGTCCTGTCGGCAGGGCACACTGTGCATGTCTGCCACCGCCCCCTCACCAGACGCTGAGTGTATCAGTCTGCAATCCTAGCTCCAGTTGAGTGAGGACAAGTTGGTCTGTGCTGTGGGATCAGGGTCTGGGGGTGATGATGGAGGAGGAGGAGCACAGTGCCCCATGAGACGAGGTGTGTGACATCCTTGCAGCAAGACATCCTCGTGGGGAGAGTCAACCCTCTGCTCTGGCCTCACTGAGGCCTGTGCCCTCCCTCAATGAAGATTGCATAGCCTTCTCAGGGGTCTCCTTCGTTTCTCTTCCTGTGCTTTGTCCTCATCACTACCCAGGCAGTGATGTTGAACCGAGGATGGAATTTTCTTCATTTCTCAGTGACTCCCCTCTGCCCTCAGGGAGCAGCCTTTCCTTTTGTTCCTCACACACTGCCAGCCCCTTCTCTGGCTGTACCTCCCTGGAACCCAGTGCTTCTGCCCTGTCCAACCGCTGACACGTCCCCAGTCCGTTCCTCTGTCATATGCCTCATTTGCAGTGCAAACCCCTGCTTGATCGGAGACTCATTTGCCTTCCCCTGAAGCCATTTCCAGCACTCTGTGCTGTGCTATGTCTGCTCATACACCGCCCTCCCTCCCCTCTCCCCAGGCTCTTGGTCGTGTTCATGGACTTCTTTTGATTTTTCTGCCCTGGTCTCTCATTCAGACTGAAAGCACGTTAATCTTTATTTCATGCTCTGGTGCACAGCTGTGTCAAAGACTTGAAACTACACAGTTTTTACCGTGTTTTAGGTTTCTTCATACGACCATTCTACAAGATGATGTTGGGAAAGCAGATCACTCTGAACGACATGGAATCTGTGGTGAGTAACTGGAGACCGTTCTGTGGGCCATGGCAGAGCACCTGCACCTTATGGACAGGGATTGGGAACCGCCTTCACAATCACAGTGATTGCTGCAGATGTTACTGCTCAGCGTGAACAACACAGAGCTCGCAATTGTTAGAAATTAATTGACCTCCCTAATTTTTTAATAAGCAAATTATTCACATTTCCTGGAATCATGGTACTTGGGGTAGGTACAGCCAAACCTTAATTACCTCTGCTTGTCCAGCACAGAACTTGTGTGAACAAATTTAAGTCCAAGGGGCACTTGAAGACCCCAGTGTAGCCTGTGTTTTCTGTCTGAAGCTGCTGGTACTGAATGCGTAGAGATTCGTTCACTGTCCCTCTGTTTTCTAACTTCATAAAAATGGCAGAAGCAAGGCCAAAACAATAGGAGGAATGTCGTGATCGTCCTAGATGTGGAGGAGTCAGTGACCATTACAAAATGGGAGAGTCAGAAAGCTGACGCAGAAGAAAGAGTTCCTCTAGAAACTGATTGAGATTTTCACATTGCAGTGAACTTACTAATTTTACCTGAGCTCACCATATTAAAGTAAAAAGCATTTGCTCATTATCCTTACGCTGGTTTTCCTGTTGACTTCCCTGCATCCTCCCCTTTCCCTCTGGAGTGTGTGGGTGTGTACCCATGTGCCAGTACACCAGCAGGGGCCTTGGGAGGCATGTGCATCATGTGGGGAATTTGCAGCTCTACTTATGTGAGAAAGCTCATCTTCCTCAGCCTAACTGGAGTGTCGGCTGTGTCTTGTCATAGCTGGTCTGTGAGCAATGTCCTCGGAACTGACCACCATGGACCTGAGGCCGCTTCTCCTAATCATAGGGAAGGGGAGGAGGAAGCCAGCACTGCCCTGGAACCCTCCACTGTATGTTTGGTCATGGCTGGGCTGGATTTTCCTCCTGGAAGCCAGAACAGCCTCATTTTTTGTTTAAAATAAGCTGGGAGCGCACAGAAGAGAACAGAAGTTAAAAAATTAGTGTTTAGTTAGAACATTGTCTCTTCCTTCCCATTTTGCTCTGATATTTTCACTCATAAAAGACAAGAAATCTCAGTCTGGCAAATTTGACCACCCTTCAGAAGAGGTGGCTTCCACCTGCTCCATAGTTGACTACAGACCCCTGTCACTGCTGAAGGCTATTTATGTTTTAAAGGGGAAGAAGTGGTTTGAGGTGGAGCAGGTGCTATTACATTAGTGAGTAGTATGATTCTTGAGCATTCTGCATGGAATTACATTAGAAAGGCCTAATTATTTAAAGGACTCACATGAATTTTATAATGCTTAATTTTACTTTCTATATCATTTCTGTAGGATAGTGAATACTACAACTCTTTGAAATGGATCTTAGAAAACGATCCTACTGAACTGGACCTCATGTTCTGCATAGATGAAGAAAACTTTGGGCAGGTAGGTTTGGCCAACTCCATTAGCTGTATGGCTCTGAAAGAGCATTTTTGTTTCACAGGCTGTGGCACAACTGTGCTTGATGATTAAGAATAGCTACCAGGAGTTTTTGGGTGAAGATCATCATCTCACTGTCTTGCAAGAAGCCAAGTCTTGGGTACAACACTTTCTCTCTCCCAGAAGTTATGGAAATTCTCAGAACCCTCTGGGGTGTGATCCTGGCACACCTACTTGGGAGCCGATCCGTGATCCGTATGTGGTGATTGGCTTTAGAATTTAGAAATTTGTGTGATTGTTTACTGAGAGATGTGAGTGTGAGTCCAGAAGTGGGTGATGTTCCAGGGGCATTGGGCATTTTTTTTCTCTGCTTTATAGTTTTGTTGTCATGGTAAAATTTGTGTCATATGACTCCGGTTTTTCTGGTGTTTCTTCTTTCTTTGTCCCCACACTGCCGTTCAAGATGATTTATCATAATGTCTCTTTTAAAGATAAGGTTGCCTGTTTGCAATTTTCATCGTCATACTTAGGGTCATAGGGTGTGTTTTGTCTAAAATCTGAAGTCTTTGATTCATTGGTTGTCTCAGTAATAATGCTTCTTGGGAGGTACTCTAAAGGTATTATGTGACCCTAGTACTTTTTCAAAAGTGCAGAGATATTTCTTATTTGGTCTCTCAGACCAAATCTACATGGCCTTGAAATTAACTAGATCGTAGAGCCCATTTTAAGGGTTACTATATAAAAAATGAAATAGATTTGTTATTGCTTCAGAGATTATTAAAAGTATATTCCACTATTGAAAAATGCCTTTGTGGCTCAGTATCATACTTTAAAGTCATGAAATCAGGTCCCTGCCCTCTTGAGGGGAAATCTTAAGAGATTCTCAGAGAAAAGACTTGTATGCAGCTAGACATGAAGAATTAATGACATCTAGGAGTAAAAATTGTGGATCAGGAAAATGATCATATAAATATCAAGGTTACTTCTTGCCCCCAAGTCATATTTTAGAACCAGGAAACCAGCTACGAAGTACATCTTGGGAGTGGGTGAATCGCAAGAAATCTGTTGATTTGGCAGTTGATTGGCAACATTTATAGAAAAACGGACCAAGGAGGAAAGCCCTTGTGACTTTGTGTAACTGACCAGTGAGTCCATTAAAAATCCCTCCGCAGCGTTTAAGAAGCCTCACAGACAATGCACATCACTTTCCTGCCTTGGGACCATGTAATGGGTGGGAACAGGGCTTTCCTGCTACTGCCCCCCCAACCCACTCGGGTCACAAGAGGCCTTCCAGTGCCTCCCTGCTCTCTCCCCCAGAAGTGTGGGAAATCACAGTGCTTTGGCTCTATTTCCCTTCCTGCCTGCCTGCCTCTCACTACTTGATTTTTCAGACTCCTTAAAAGGCATGCTTTCTCTGCTGACCTTGCAAACACTGGCGTCCTTCTGCCATCAGTCTTCTGCCTGATGCTTTCTTGTCCCTCCGGCACTAGTCAGATGGCCTCCTCTCCACGGGAAGCACCAGTGGCATCTATCTGTACCTCTTACCACCAGCTCCTTTTCTTTAGCTTACGCCTCGACCTGGTCTCCAACTGCCCTGTGCTCAAAAACCTCAACTACTCATCAGTGAGACCCAGGCTCCCAGCACTCTGGCCCTTTTCTCCTCTGTAGCCCCACCTCTGCTCTTATTTCATCCATGAAACATGGGCATCATATGGGAATCTCATCATGCTCAGCCTCCAGTGTCCAGCAGGTCCCTGTGCCCTTGTTTTTCTTCTTACCTATACCTTTCCTTAATCATGCCCTGCTTGTTTCCGGGCTGAATTGCTCTAACATCCTCCTGACTCCATCTTTCATATTCTGGTCCTCTTCCCAGCCAATTTTCTAATTCCCTCAACTGTGTACCCCCATGTGTAATGTTTCTGAAAGACAAGCACAGCCTTCCTGTCACCTTCAGTGTAAATTTAAAACTTACTGGCATGGCTCATGCCCCCTCATGATCCAACACTGCCCTTCCCACTCATCGCCTGACACCTCCTTCCTCTCACCTTCACCATCCTAGTGAGCTTCTAACTGTCCCCAGAGGGAATTTGGCTCAGTGGCACTGCACCTGCCTTTCAAGTATGAGTTCCTGAGTTCAATCCCCGGTACAAAAACCAAAAAAAACAGTGTCTCCAGAGGCAGCTTGGTGCACTGTTGCTGTCTTTCCAGACCTCACTTGCCTTGTCTCATTACCTCTGCCATACTGTCCTCTGGTCTTTATCTGACTTCCTATACGCCATAAGCCCCTTGAGATCTTCATATCTCAGTGGTTAGCAGGCAGTTGCCTACTGAGCAAATGGATGAGTAGTGCTAACCTAGCTTTAAAAAAAACTCTGAATAATGTTGTAAGCAATAGACATCCTGTGGGAAAACAAAAAGAATTGAATTTCAGGTCTAAACCAGACCTGTTGACATCCTAATTGCCAGTTTTCGAAAGACAGCACATAGATAGTCCCCTAGAACTGTGCATCTTTTCATTTTCAACACATGTAGGAAGGACTAGAAATAAAGAACCAAAAAAGAAGTAAGATAAACCTTGTGTGTCAAATGAATGAAAAAGCCTCTTTGTGTATCCACCAACAGAAAACCAGATGACCAACTCAAATGACAGAGTTCAGAATGTTAGTAGTGCCAACAGTAGAAACAAATGAACTTTGAGAAACCTTCTGTAGGTACTATTTCCATCTAATTGAAAACAAAATGCAGCATGTTGGATTTTTAAGTAGACATCTAAGAAAGGTTCTGTTTATCATTATAGTTGATGCTAGTCATTCATTATCAACAGTTCTCAAATCTCCTTAGTTAATGCCATGGACTCTTCTGACTTGAGTAAAATCAGAGTGATGTAATCAGTGCAGACCCAGGAAGTGAGAGAGATGATTAGGTGCTTGATTTGTTAAATTACTCTCTCCCCTTTTTTAGAGCACTAACCTGATGAGCAAAGTACTGATGTGTCTGCCCCCATGTACTTGGCTGGAATTTAGAGCAAATTAACAACCAGGTACAGTGATACCTTGGTTTACAAACTTAATTCTCTCCATGATTCCAGTTGCAAACTGAATTGGACGAGAACCAAATCAAATTCAATGGTTGGGTTCAATGTTGACCTTATGGGAAAATTTGGTTCAGTTCTTGTCCAATTTGGTTTGTGACCAGAATCATGGGGAAAATGAGGTCCATGAGCGAAGGTGCCTCTTTAATCTCTTCTTTCTTGTTCTGAGTCCTCCACTGAGCCCCCTTCACAGTACCTCCCAGATAGGCCTCACGTGCATTTGCTCCCTTCTCTGTCCCACCGCCAACCCCCAAGTCCAAGCTACCACTTTTTCTCCTAGCTCCCTGCAGGTCTCTTTGTATGTTCTTTGGTTCTTTTTATGCCACAGAGATCATTTCAGCATATAAAAATGATCATGTCATTTTTCTTCTGCCAGACATTTTCAGGAGCTTCCCAATGCCCATGTGGGAAAGGTCTAGGTCCTTAGTCTGTCCTGTGAGGTGCTGCATGGCTTCCCTCATTATTTCTCCCCTGGATTTGTTTTGTATCACAGATTTGCTCCTCAAGCTTTCTGGGCCAGCCCTTCTGGCCTTCTGGAACGTAGCAGCTTCCTTCCTGCCTCAGGACCTTTGTTCATGCCATCTCTTCTGCTGGGAACAGGTTCCTCCCACCTGGGTTCAGACATCTCCTCCTCTAGGAGGTCAGCTCTTGGCCGGTTAGTTAGACCTTGGTACCTGACCGCTCTGAAACTCATTGAATTTCATACCCCATGCATTTTGGTGTGAAAATTTTGTCCCAGTACTCATAACTTGTTTGGTCTCAACACTGGTTTGGTCCTCAGCTTGCAAGCTAGAACTTACTGGTGCCAGTTGCCTCGTAGCTCAACTACCCTTTCCAGCCAATACAGTTGGTTTGGTACTTGTTTATGGGATTCATCCCACCTCCCAGAACCAATTAACAAGCACCAAAGTACCGCCATACTTCAGTGTTTCCTTCCATGTCTTCCCGATGGAATTACCATGGGGAACTTTGCATTTATTTGTCCAAGTATGTATTTAGCATCTGTCTCCACCAGGCTTTGTCTCAGTGACACCAGCAGTGTGCGTGCTGTTGGCTCGTCATCACACACTTGCCATTAGCATGGTCCTTGGCACATGTAGGCCCTCAAATATGGTTGTTGAGTCAATAATAGGAGCCGTGGCAGGGTATCTGTGCAAGCCTCTCAGCCCTCTGCAGAGCACCGACCATGCTGTGCAGTTGGTTCTAACCCAAGGTGGGCCTGTGCCCCCAGAAGTTAACTAAAAGTCACCTCCTCAGTGGGGCAGAGGCAGCACCTTGGGCACAGCAAGATAGACATGCACTCCGCTTTCCACAGTGCTTTCTGCCGGAGCTCCTCTCATTTCACAGTTACAAGCAATAGACCATGAAGTGTGGTGGCTGCTGTTGTTTCTTGTTATGGAGTTGCAGCTGTTGCCATTATGTGAGTTGTTTTCTTCCTGCTCAGTGAGAATCTGGAGCTGCTCATTTCTGAGGCCTGCTAGAGAAGGTTCAGATGCCGAGCAGGATGATTGGCTCTGTACCTATGCACATGTGCACGTGCACGCGCACGCGCGCGCGCGCGCGCACACACACACACACACACACACAGGAGAAGGGCCTGTTAGAGCAGAATAAAATGTTCCTTCTTTCATGTTGAGCAAAGCAGGTTTGATGAGGTTGTTTGGAGAGGCCCTGGGTTGTGACCTTCAAGGAGCTGTGCTGGAGGAGGAAGGACAGTGGCCCAGTAGGGAAATTCTTCAGGGAAAGGCATGCCAGGTTAAGTACACTTCTTAACGGGGTGCAGGCCCCAGCTGGCCACTGGAGGAGAATTATCTCAGAAGTTGCCAGGGTCTGTGGCCCTCCCAGGGGCTGCAGTAGGGAGCACAGTATGCTGTGCATCAGACTGTTAGGATTTTGTGGTTGTAGGCCAGGCAGTGAGGGGAGGGCTGTTGGACAAAGGCTCCTTACGGGACTATAATGACAAAAAAAGGTTGGGGGAAGGAAGTTGGTCAGAAGGCAGAAACTGGTAGCGTACTGGGAGGAGAGGGCCAGGAAGAGACTAGAGGTGGTGGTGGTGCCACTCCAGGAGCAGCCAGATGGAAGCTAAGGAAATTGGAAGTGAAAAAGCAAGAGGTGACCTGGAGGCCACAGTGCTGTCCTTGCCAAAGCTTTGCTGTCATCCTGGGGAGGATTAGGAAGGGGAAGTTGGCCTGGCCAGGGACAGGGCTGGGGAGGGCACAGGCTGCCTTTAGTCTTTAGTGCTCAGCACCCAGAAATGGGATCTCAGAAGCAGATAAACCTTCTCTGCCTAAGTCCCTTGTGCTCAGTATGACCCACACTGTTTCTCAGCTAAGCCCACAAACATTTGGTGTAAAGCATCTGTTGTGGAAGATCAGGGAAGCTATGATGCATCCAAAGCTCTTGACTGGCAAGAGGAGGATTCTAGCTCTGTGAGGGTCACATGCCTGCTCCTGGTTTCCTCTCATCTTTATGAGAAAGATCGAGACGCTTATGCTCAGGACACTAGGACTCTTTTCTGTTGTAGGGTTTTTCCCATCAGTATTTATTGGACACCTGCTGTGTTCCAGACTACTGTGTTAGTGCCATATTGGGTTCTTTGGGACCCAAGAAAATGATGATGATCCCTAGAAAGCCACTGCTAGAGGTGAAAGGATGAATTTAGTATAGTGAGGAAATGGACAAGAGTGGCAGAAATCCACCCACAGTGGAGGGGAAGACTGCTTCACTGGAGAAAGGACACCTGGGCTCCAGCACCAGCTCCATCTAGTTGCCTGTGTATCCTTGGTCAGAGTGTTTCACCTTCCTAGTCTCTGCCTCCCCCTCTATGTGCCATGACGCTGCCCGTAGGTATGACCGTGATTAAGAGAAGCCCAATGATTGCCCTCCAGCTTCTCCCTCCTCAGCACCAGGCTGTTGGCACCTCTGAGCCTGCTGCTGCGGGCTTCCAGCCCTTGTACTATTTTGTCCTCTCCTGTGGCAGTGAGGTCTGAAATGAAGAAGTATGAGGTGTGAGGGAAATGAAAACACAAAGCTATAGCTCGGCAAAAGGCTCCGCAGGAATGGAGGCTGCCAAGAGAAGTGAGCGTGTAGAGTCCAGCTTTGCAGATCCGTGAACTAGGCCTTGTATCCAACTCTCTGCTTTCCACCGAACCTTGTGCTTAGCCAGAAATCACTGCAACCTACCTAATGGGTAGGTTGTCTAATGCCTACCCCATTAGGCACCTACCTGATGGAATAATTCAGTGATCTGACCTGTGACAGCTGCACCATTGCATCTGCAACACAGGAAGCAGTCTGAACCTTGGCCTTGACAGCTAACTGAAAAAGTAGAATTTAAACACTGGTCATTGCTCCCACTAAAATGTTGTCTCTGGAGAACCCAAGAAGGTCAGAAACTCAGCACCACTTAGAATGTAACTGATAAATTTGTTTCAGGGACCTGAAGGACTCACCCCAACATGGGGGCCTAGGGAGAGAAACAGCCCTGAGCTGAGTTCCCTTGGCAGGCCTGCCCCTGAGCACCCCTTCACGCTCTGGGGAAGGAACCTGGTCCAGATCAGCCTTGCTGCCTCTTCATACCAGTCTCCTCCTCATTTAGCATGGATGGTTGGGTCCCTTTTATTTTTCCCTTCAAAAACACTTTCAGCAGTTTTCTGGTTATAAAATATTAAGTGTTGTAATTAAAATAAAACAATTCAATAAAAGTACTAAAAATCTCTATCGCCTATTCCTGCTATCTCAAGAAAAATGAAGATTAAAATTTTGATTAAGTTAGTGCACCTGTACTCTGGGAGGCTAAGGCAGGAGGCTTGCAAGTTTTACCCAACCTAGGGCAATTTGGTGACTTGCTGAGACCTTATCTCAAAAAAAAAAAAAAGAAAAAGGCTGGAATGTAGCTCAGTGCAAAGACATTGGGTTCAATCCCCAGTACCACACACAACAATTATTATATCTAATAGAACTATTCTCTGTGTGCACAGATGCAAGTTTTATTTTTGTTTGAATGAAAGTGGAATTGTACTGTGCATAGTGTTCGTAATATATCACTCAGACTTCCCTGTGTCAATAAATATCAGTCTGTACTGCTGTAACGGAAATTCCATTTTTTAGATATGTACTGTATGATTTTAGCTGTACCTTGTTTGTGGGCATGTGGTCTACTCCATGTTTACTATATTAACATAATCCTGGAGATGATCTTCATATACATAGGATATAAACATACATATGTATATATATATATATATTTGCATACTTGGTTAATTTTTCTTCTTTGATATAAATTATAAAAGAAATTAGAAGAAGGAATATGTGCGGTATTATAAGAAGTAAAATTGTGATGCCTACTTATTGCCAAATTATCTTCCAAACAATAGAACCATTAGACACACAGCAGTACAGGCAAGAGCCCTTTGTTTCTATGCACTGGCAGCACTGGATCCCGGTGCATTGGGTAAAGCTGCCTGGCAGCATCACAGGATTTCCTCCCCTCCTTGATTGCAGTTCTCACTCTCATTCATTAGTTCTGGAAAATGACAACTCCCGGAGGCACCTGGGGAAGGAGGCCCTGTGAGGAAAGAGAGGCGGGAGGAGAGCCCTCCAGGGTTGTGGATACTGTTTACTCCCTCTGCCTGGAACATGAGAGCTGGGAAGAAGGGGATTCTGTCTTAGACTAGCTGAGCTTTACCAAGAGCCTGCTCAGTGCCAGGAGGTGATCTGGGATTAACTCATCAGTGTTATCGAGCAGATAGGAAATCTCCATTAATGGAAAGAATAGCAGGACAGTCTTAGAGGAGGTATTGCGGGGGGGGGGGGGGGGGTGCAGTACAGGGCTTATTAAAAGCTGCTACAGAAGATGTGAATGAACTGGAGCCACAAACCTCAAAACAACTGTCAGTGTTCTTATAGGAAACATCCCCACCCCACTGCCCAAGCAAAAACTGTTTGCCATCCACCAGCACTCACCTGGCCTGTCCAGGGCAGGAGCAGGTGCCTGCCCTCAGGAAAAGGAAATGGAACTGTGAGGAAGGGGTTGGAAGGAAACTGGAAATGCAGAAACAAGATTAAGAGTCTGTGATAGCGACAGCAACGAGATGAATTGTGTTGGAAAAACAAGATCCTCTCCCAAATGAAAAGGGAAAAAGAACATGCAGAGGGGCGAGATGGTTGTTCAGTGTGATTGAGAAAACTGCTCACTGTGAACAGAAGTGAGAATGAAGCAGACAGAGCAAACACTGAAGACAAGACGGAGTCTTCAGGCCAGAAGGCCAGGTCTTTGGGGCATGCAGGGTTTGGAGGAAGGAATCACTGGGGGACCTTTTGCTGGAGCATAGATCCCATTACACGTTGGAGTCTGTGTCGTCATTACGCAGAGAACTCTGGCTCTTGATTTGCTGGGTCATACAAACTGGTGGACTACAGAGGATCTCACCAAAATATCTACATGGCTGCCTTGTAGCAGGGAAGTTGGGCTCTAGAATTTCTTTTCCATAAAAAATAGGCCTCCTCCTGAACTAGTTATTGCATCTTGCTGGATCTGGGGAGTGGGGAAATGTGATAGTCTGGTTTCATCAACTTTGCTCCTTTGTGATCAAGGTTTCCTCTAAGGGAGGGTGGTATCAGGGACAGATAGTGGGAAGAAGTGTCCCCGTCCAAATAAATTTCTTCAACCTGGCTTCTCAAGTTTCTAGTTTTTCTTTCTTTTTTTTTCTTTTACCTCAATACTAGGGATTAAGCCCAAGGTCTCACAAATGCTAATAGGCAAGCACTCTACCAGTGAGCTGTATTCTCGGCCATTTTTAAAAATTTCTTTCTAATACACGGTCTCACTAAATTGCCAGGCTGCCCTCAAACTTGTGATCCTCCTGCCTTAGGCTGTTAAACAGTTGGGATTATATGCATACACTACTATGCCTGATGCTTAAGCTTTTCTTTGTTTTTCTCTTCTATTTCTTTCTTCTTTTTTTCTTTCAAGGCCCTGTGTTTTGCCTGTTTGAAAGAAAATCTATGCATCCTTTTTTATGACTATAAATTTTAATTTCCAGGAACAAAATGCATTTGAATTTGTATCTCTGTAGACTTGATTAATTTACTGTTTTTGTCTGTTAAATATAATTAATCAATAAATGAATAGCAGATTTAAAAAATGTTGTTCTTCTCCATTGTTGCTAATGTATGAAGTATAATTAAAACAAATAACCACAGAATCACTTGCCTTTAGTGATAACATCTATAAATGTGTGACATTTTAACAGTTTAAAAGCTTCATTAGACATTCTCTTATACATGGAGCCCATTTTCTGGGAAGTATTTTTTAATAAATTTTGCTTATCTTTCTTAAGACCTTAATAGTAATATGTAAAATAACTCCATGATGGTGATTCTTGTTTTTTCTTTATAATTACAGACATATCAAGTGGATTTGAAGCCCAATGGATCAGAAATAATGGTGACAAATGAAAACAAAAGGGAATATATTGAGTATGTATACTCATATTTACAACTTTCTCTTTTAATAAATTGAACAACACATTGGGTTGGGATCCCTTGCCAGGATAGCTCATGTGCACTATGTATGGCCAGGTTTGCATGGGCCAGTTTTCAGTAATGTAAGTTCTTTTTTGGCCTGGGCTAATGGGAAGTTGAATGTGGGCTGGTAAGTTTGCATTATATCATGACGTCTGTGAGCTTCCCTCAAAAGGAATGGAGCAAGGAAAAGGTGTATGTGGTTGAGTGACATGGCAGGTACTCTTTTAGAGTATGTGGACATCTCATTTCGACTTTAAATTGTAACAGTGTAACACATTGTCAAAGACCAGTGGGATAAAATTAAGAACTACCATAGGCAAAGTATTTTCCCTCTCTCCTGACTGCTTCTTCATAGTAAAAACCTAGGAAAAGAGTTAAAACAGATAGAATTTTGCATGTGCAAATAGAATGAATTATTTCTGATGTTTGCGAATTTTCATAATCCAATCTCAGCCTCATTTGGTGGAAGAAAATGTTGAGTCCTTTCAGAAATCTAGCTCTTAAGTAATCCTGGGATTTTTATAGCAGGCAGAAGATCTTTCTTGCTTGGGTACATTACATTTTTATCTTTGATATGTCTGTATGATGCAGACACATAGTTCTGAGTTCTTCCAAGGCTGGCCACGTTTGCCTTTGCTAGCCTCCCCCTTGTGCAGGCATGAAGAAAGTGCTGCAGGGTTTGGTTGTAGGGTCCGAGTTTCTGCGTATCTTGTGGGTTATAGCAGTGACTTGAGCTTTCAGTACTCCATTTCTACAAGCAGTGTTTCCTTGTTTGAAATTGGTCAGAGGGCTTGAATGGAGAATTGGCTGAGAATCTCAGCATCTTTTAGTGTGATCGGCAAGGAAGACATATCCTTCCTAATTAGGAAGAAATGGAGAGTGGCATAATCTTAGAGACCCTGAGGAAGAGTGGAACTGTCATATAACAACCCTTCTCCACTCTCAAGTCAAAAGCTTGTTCATGCTTAATAAATAATCTGGAAGTAAGCTACTACAGTTCTTACCTGTCCACACTAATTGGAGTCCTTGTTCTGACCTTGAATAATTTTAGCAGATGATACCTGGGACACGATTGTCTTCGCTTGGAAAGCAGAATGGTGAATAGTTTCTTTAAAAAGCTGCAGCCAAGAATGACTAAGGTCTGAAGTCTGAGGAATCTGACGTGTGCTGTGCATCACTCTTTGCAGTTAATTGTTTTAGGGTTCACATTTGGTCTAGGCAGGGTTTCAGCTAGTTTCACTGAAAAAAGTAGAATTGAAATCTCCAGCTGCTCCTGGCCCCGTGTCCTCCTGTGGCGGTGGAGGAGTGGCAGTGGGCTGATGATTGCAGCCCAGACCCACAGAGCTGAAGTGGCTGAGCTGGTGTGCTGCAGGCTGCTCGTGGGGGCTTTGCTGTGCTGCCTGCCGCCTCTGACATGAGAGCCCTCTATGAGGATGAAACCTTCGTCGATCTGCCTTGCAGTTGGTTCTGCTCTGTGCCAAACACTGTCACAGGGAAAATGGTTTCAGTGAATTTCAGTTACTTTTAGAGTCTTAACCATTCATCATCCAAGTTTTGGTATTAAAACATTAGTGTACATGATACTCAGCATACTAGGAACTGTCTTTACAAACACTTGCACATAGTTATACATACATATGGGTGTGGATGTGTGTCTTTGTACACACACACACACACACACACACCTGTGTACTCATACCCATGACTTTGCCCCTCTTCAAGTAGTTACATCTATAAAGCACTTTGATCGACTGAGGCTTGATGGGTGGGAGGGCCGGTTATGACATCATAGATATTCCACTGATTCTTGAAAGAATTCCTGAATCAACAGTGGGCGCACCACAGTAGCTCCCTCCCCTTTGGTACACGATTGCACTCTCTGCTTTTCCCTCCCTGAGGAGCAGCAGTCCCTACTCTGAACAAAGCAGTGAGCCCTGGTGACAGTGGGGGTGGTTAAGCATGTTCCCTTTTCTCCTGCAGCTTAGTCATCCAGTGGAGGTTTGTGAACAGGGTCCAGAAGCAAATGAATGCCTTCTTGGAGGTGAGTGCTGCTGGCGGGGTCTCCGCCATGCATCTCAAGCCCTGGGTTGAGGAGAGCTCGCTGGTCTCCTGTGGGTGATGTGCTGGAGCTGACCACTCTCCGAGCCATGGGGGTGGGACCCACAGAGGAAGCCACCACTACCCAGCTCACACTGTTGACTTGCCTGAGGGACAAGAGTGTTCAATAGTGCACCGTTGCCATTTTTTTCTTTTTTTGTGTGTTCTGTTTTTTGCTTCTCTTATATTTTAATTTGTCTAAACTGTGTTTGAAGCGGACTTTTTAAATACTCGATCTAGAGCTGTCATCTTGGAGTTCCAGATGATGCCCAGAGAAGGCTGCCAGCTGCTGCAATGCCAGTGTCCGAGGGCTCGTGCTGAACATATAGAGGGTGGTTCCCATTAGGCCATCCCTCTGGGGACTCTGCCTGCCTCAGTGGCTGTGCTTTTTCTTCATGGCTGTCTTAAGATTCCCCACAGATTTTCTCTTGTAGAACTACATGGAAATCACATTTTTGTCAGCTGGGCTTTGGTATTACACCTGGCCATCTGTGCCAGCTTCCACCCTGGGAAGACAAGGGGTCACTACTGGGCATGCTCCCAGGCCCCTTCCAACCCTGGTCCCTAGCAAAGGGTAAAGGCTCATCATTTTAAAAAGTGTTTCATGCTGAACAGAAGTGAAATCCTTTTAACTCTGATAATGAGTTAAAAGATAACAGGAAAAAGCCTCAAGTCCACACTATTAATTTCCAGTAAACTGATGGAGAGCTCCCGTTTGGCAACACTCTTGAGCTCAGTTGTGTACACAGGATGAAAAAAGCATTCCAGGCAGAATGCTTAAAAAATTCAGGGTCCTAGGAAGGTGAAGTATAAGGCTTGAGTGGACAAGGGCCCTTTCATACTTTATTTAGATAAGAAACCCCAGAGAGCAGATTCCTTGGCCCCACCCCTAGCAGCCCTGGCTTTGAGGAATCTGGCCTCAGCACAGCAGCCTTGGGAGTCTCATCCTGGAGCCTTGCACTGGCTGGTCACAGCCCAGGAACGGAAGCTGGGTTTGCCACACTCCGTCTCCTCTGCACTACATCACACCTCCTCCTTTTGTGCCTCATCCCCAGGCCTTCAAGGAGTTATTTTTAAACGTGTCTCCAGCACATCTGTGGTCTGTGCATTTTTAGGACGCAGTGACTCACAATAGTGTGTCATAAAGGACTTTCTGAAACCACCTGCCCACAAGATTCATATTGTCATGAGGTTTCAAAAATTACTCAAGTTCCTGAACCATCTAGATTTTATAATTTTTCAAAACTTTTGTGTTTTGAGTGTAGTTTTTATTGGGGCTACAGTTATTTGATACTGTCAGTGATGTATAAATCATCAGTAAAGAGTATATTTTACCTGGCAAACCAATAAAGCTTATTTCTCGTGTAAAATTTGTGTTTTTTTGAGGAAAAATATGTTTAAGGTGATTTTTTTTATTTGTCCTTTCAGGGATTCACGGAACTGCTTCCTATTGATTTGATTAAAATTTTTGATGAAAATGAGCTAGAGGTTTGTATTATAAATTATTTTACGTAAAGTAGATTTTTTAAAAGTATCTCTCATTACTTTGCAAATGATATTTTAACATTCTGTGATCCATAATGTCCTACTGAGTAAGTTTAGGTGAATTATGTGTTTTATATGGGGTTTATTTTCTGATTTTGGAAGTAAGGAATAGCAGAAGTAGTCATCCCAAGATTCCCTGTACATTCAAGCCATTCAGTGAGCATGCCCACCAAGCCATGTTGGGTTCATAGCCCTGTGCATCAGGTGAGGAGAGCAGCTGCATCTAGTCGAGCAAAGGTTGTAGCAGTCCCCTGTTTGCAAGACCAGGCAGCCCAGGATCCTGCTCTACTCTACCTCCACCAGGACAAGCCAGTCGGGGACTTGGCCACAAGTGATTATAAGCACCTCCTAGAGGCTGTGAAATAGATGTCTTATTGAACTTGAAGTGGTTTATGTTGACTAAGGAAAAATATCAGAAGGCAACAAGGTAGCAGCAGAAGGTATGCTGCACCTCAGCTGCTTGGTATTGATGTGATGAATGATCGCAACATGAAAACCAAAGGAACACTCTTTGTCGTATCAGGAAAAACAGGAAAAGGAAGGAACCTGTGTCTGTTGACAAGCTGGTGACAGTACTTGGGCATTTGTCAAAGCCACATGCAGTGGACTATCTCTCAAAGACTGGGTTTCTGTACTTTCACCTTAAAGTGGGAACTTGGAGATAAATGATGTCATAGAAATCACACACTGTAAGCCCTCTGTTTTGCAGGTGGAGTCACTGAGGCAGAAAGAAAGGAGTGACCTCACAGGTTGACCCCGCAAGGTTTTAGCCAGTTAGGCCTAGAAACCCTGTTTTCAGGCTTTGAATGTAGTTCTGTTTTATTCCATTCCCTGAGTGGGAATATCATATTCATTTGTCCACTGGAAACCTTCTGTCCTGGAGAGTTATGTAATAAGAGGAAGCCTTAGATAAATAATTAAAGGAGCCCATTACTGCATTAGTACATGTCCATAGTCCACAGGTCTGTGTTAGAATGAGGTGTTGTCATCACCTGAACTGAACCATCTGGCAGAGATGAGTTCTTGCTGTCATAAATAGTAATTCCCTTGTGGGTAGAGAAAGTCTCTGATATTCAGAAGATCTCTCAGGGGAAACAAAGGTAACAGAGTGTAAGGACATCATGAACACTGCGCCTAGCTTCGGGGCTAGGAAGACGACTGATCCAGTGTCTATTTGTCTGTTTCCAATATGAAATGTCACGGCCTTGTCCAGAGGTTAGAATTAAATCACCCTCATTACCTATGACATTTCTGTGATCTGATGTGGCAGGAAATGTTTGGGACATATGTCCACAGTCATCGTCTTTCATGAATTGCTAGCTTAACTCCTTTGCAGAATGACAAAATGCTGGCTTTGAGGAAAACTAATTTCTCAGTGTGTGATTTCTCCAGCTTTCACATCCTACCTCATTTACATCTGGTAAATTTCCTTCATAGTTGCTGATGTGCGGCCTCGGTGACGTTGACGTGAACGACTGGAGACAGCATTCTATTTACAAGAATGGCTACTGCCCGAATCACCCTGTCATTCAGTGGTTCTGGAAGGTAACTCCAGCACCTCCTCCAACTTCAGTCTCCCCCACCCCAAGTCAGGGCCAGGGCTCTACAGTGCCTTCATCTGCCTTGCTCTAGGACTAATGCTGGAAATTGGGGTCTTTTCTACTCAGACTATGGGAGATGGAGGGAGAAACGGAGCCTCTGCAGTTTTCTTTAACTGCATTGCCCAGTGAGAGTTGAATAAGGCTAACCCGAACACAAGTGCTTGGTCCGTCCTTGACCACCTGGTTAGAGTGACTTTCATTTGCGGAACCCATTAAGAAAGATGATTCTTGAAAAGGAGTTCATTGGCACCCAGAGTACTGGAATTAGGCCTCCAAGGTGGAAATCAGAGTGGGAGCTTTCTCGGCGTATAAACATTCTCTTGGGGCTGGCTTTCCCAAGATGCCATATTTTGTGGAAAAATAAATTTCTCAGGTTTTTTTTTAAATCCAAAAACCATTTTGATCTTATATCTCTCATCCTAGATGCAAACAAAATATGATTTCCTATCTTAAAGCCCGTGTTTACATTCTGTTCGTCTTAAAAGGGAAGGGAAACAGGAAAGGGTTTGTCCAAGGGAGAGATGGTAAACTAAAAAAACAGATAACTCACCCCACCAAAAAAGAGGTCATCTAACTTGTTTGAATTTCTAAATGTGTGCTACTAATATTTCAAGTGCCAGCAGACATACAGAGAGAGAAGAAAGCAGAATCTTCAAATCCTAGACCAAGTCTCACTCAGCTTTGATTTTAGATATTTTTATAGTAGTTCAAATAACATTCCCAGTGAAGCCAATTCAATTCCTGTAATGTGTTAGGCACACAGATTGTTTTAGAGAGCGATTTTTGCTGTTGTCTTTGGGCAGTTTGCAGTCTGAAATAACTATCTCTTCACCTGGGCTCCCCTTGTGTAGACCCTTCTGGATCACTGCATAGTTATAATTGGTTTGAGGGGAGCTGGCAAACCTCGAATACTGAGACCTGAGCTCAGTGCCATCCCAGAGCTTGATTTTCATATCATTTATTTTGGCCCATTGGCAGAAGAATAAAAGATCTGATGATCACTCGCTAAGATTAGAGAGGCTGAGGTTGAGATGGCCATAAAAAAAATAATAAAAAGACTCAGTTTTCTGTCTGGGCCTTCTTACATGACAGTATACATCAGATCAAGTTTGCCTGCCTGCATTACAGTAGCATGTACCCTCTGTCAGCTGGAGACCTAACAACGTTCTGCCTCTGTTGCACAGGCTGTGCTGTTGATGGACGCCGAGAAGCGGATCCGGTTACTGCAGTTTGTCACGGGGACATCCCGTGTACCCATGAATGGATTTGCCGAACTTTATGGTGAGTAGCACACATCAGACTCTGCTGTCCTCCAGTGAAGATCTGGCCAGGTCTCACCTGTGGCCTGAGAATGCTGTGCATGTGGGATTTTGTCTGTTAACACTGGGGCAACTCATCCTGAGGCCAGGCAGGCCCTGCATGTGAGCTTGTGCAGACTGCGTGCCTCTCAACATTAAATACTGCATCACAGCAAAAGTTAGTGAGTCAGGACTCACTCGGCAAGCCCTGCCCTGCCTGTGGGAGCTGTGCTACTTTCGTGTCACTGCAGCTTTGTCCCACCACCTCAAGCCCTGTTGACGTGTCTTTTTCTTTTCTGTCCAGGTTCCAATGGTCCTCAGCTGTTTACAATAGAGCAGTGGGGCAGCCCTGAGAAACTGCCCCGAGCTCACACATGGTGAGTGACAAAACACTTCTGTGTCAGCCACCAGTATCTTAGATACTCAGCCTTGTGTGGTACTGGCCTCGAGGTATACAGTGCTACTCTTCCTGTCTGTAAATAACTCAGAGTGAAAAACCAATGCAGATGAGGACATGAATTGTACAGTAAATGCTAGCAAAACTTCAACCACGATCTGAATAGAGCCAGTGTGTTTGCACATAAGGGCTAAAGCCTCTGCACTATCGGGGATGCCTCCAAGACCTGCCTTCCCTGTTTGCTCTAGGAGCAGACTTCACCACTTAGCACTTGTGGACATGGCAGCTCCCAGCCTCTCAAAAGAACTGGATTTTTATTCCCACCTTAAATTGGTTGTTTAAAACTTAGAATAAAATTCTCTATTGAAGCATCAATCTTAAAATGCCTTCCATGCCTGTGAATAACCCATAGTTCCCTGGAATTTAGTATTAATATGATTATAGCCAGAGCAGTGTAGATGTCTATAAGTGACACATGGCCTGAGACAGCAAAGTATAGGGGCTCGGCACCCTCAAAAGGTCCCTTTTTGGCTGCCAGGAGAGGAAAGAGGCCTCGGATACTTTCTTGGAAGATACAGGACACCAAGCATGGAGCAGTCCTGCCTGAATGAGTTTTTAAGAGTAGCACTTTGCTAATCCGAACTCAGTGCCCCTCGGTTGATTTGTTCTTGGTGCATGGGGGTGGGGGGCACTTTTCTGTCCTACTCCTTAGGAAGCACTGGAGTCAGTCTTCTGGACAATGTGAGCACCACAGCCCTGGCTTTCCCACGGGCAATGAAGGCTCAGGAATCCCGCACTGACCATACTGAGCTGACAGAGGCAACCCGCAGTCACTTGCCACAGGAGACACCCTTGCTAAAGAAGGGGCAGTGGGGAGGAATTCTCATGAAAATGCCTTTGTGAGAAGTTGCCTCTGAAAGGTTCTTTGCTTCTGTGTAATTCCTTTGCCTTACCAGAAAGAAAGGGTTTTTCCATTCATGCCATTCACATGACTGAATGGAATGAATGTGGTCATTGCCTGTCAGGCCCTTAAAAGCCCGAAACAAGTGAATATCCAGAACAGTCATTGCCCGTGTTACCCACTTTATTTTAGGAGTAGAATGTTTTAGTCATTTGGAGCTTTTATTCCAGCCAGTGTCAGAGTCTAATGTGGTCTTCTGGGCTGTGACAACTCAGTTTGAAAGGCAGCCAGCACAGAGCTGAGCCCAGGGCTGTGGGTGTCGGTGCAGAACTCCCAGGCTCAGAGCCACAGAGACAGCGCTAATGAGAGCTTCTGAGTTACCTGACACAGCCATCTTCTGTGGGCCAGGCATTGTTTCATCTTATGATACACCATGATTATGCCCCTGGACTATGAAAACGCTTGCCCAGGAGCCCAGAGTTCACAGATTCCCAAATCAGGGGATGTGAATTCTGCCAGAAAGAGTCTGCTCCCTTCACCACTGCACCCAATAGACCGCCTCCATCCATGCAGCCGTCTCTTTATACTCTTTAAAGAGAACCAATCTGGTAAGCCAGGTGCAGGTTCAGCCCATGTCCCTCTTTGACCCTGTGGACAGATTCTTGCTGTTGAACTTTTCTTCAATTTTGAAATCCACATGCTTCACCATGACTAAGACATGGTGCTGCGCAGCTGAGACCCGAAATCAGTGGTTCTTGACTGTAGCTGCATATAGAGAGCTTTTAAAAACCCTCATGCCAAGCCAGGGATTTAGCTCAGTGGTTCTGCCACCTACCTCACAAGTGCAAGGACCAGAGTTCTATCCCCGGTACCCAAAAAAAAAAACCCTCATGCCAGAGTTCTGCTCCCAGAGATGTGGACTTAGTTGGTGTGGCTCAAGTAGTGGGATTTTCAAAGGAAAAAATATTTTCAAAAGTAGACCTAGGAAGGGTAAAAGATACCACACTGGCTCTTCCCAAAGCTTATTTTCCTGTCTCTGTGTCACAGAAATAAAGCAAGCAGCCTTTCCTAATGGTGCTCCCTCGAACGGATCTGCTGTCCCTGAGGGGATGTGTCACAGGCAGCCCTGACCCTCGTGAATAAGCCTGTTGTCCTCTTCTGCATGGCTTGCCTCCTAGCCAGGCCCAGTTATATTTCAATACAGAAATGGGAGCTTTGTGGCCACTTCTCTGCAACAGTTCCAAGTGACCTTCAGCCACAGGATGGTTCATTTCCTCCATGATCTACAAGGATGTAAAATGCACAATTAAGCTTCAGATTAAGAATTTCCTTTGGTAGAAAAGCAAAGGCCAGAAGATCTGGCTCTTTCTTTAGGGTCTTCAGATGTCACCATTGGGTGTGTGATTACTTGCAAGCTTCAGTTCACTGTTCTGGAAAAGTCACTTCCAGTGTACTCTTGCTAGGAATCCCAGACCCACTTGCTGTACCAATAATTTCAGCTCACACACCTTTCACATGGGAGAGCCAGAGCCCACTGAGGGCAGTGGCCTGCTCAGGGTCACCCTGTATCCCAGGGGTGGACCAAATCACAAATAACAGCGACAACCCCTTACTGAGCCCCTGTCCCACTTCCAGACACTGTCCAGGAACTGATGTGACTGACTCATATAATTGTAACAATTCTGAGAGTTAGGTTATCTGATGACCCCATTCCTATAGATAAGAAAGTTGAAGTCCAGACCCTCAATAACACAATTCCAACCTCAGATCTTCACGTATTCCATTTACCCTTTCTCTCCTTTGCACAGTTTCTCTTCAAACATGGATCGTGTACAGGTATCTTTTTAAGGAAAAAAAGCTGTCAGGGAACTTCAGGACTAGGTCTTTAGACTGTGCAGAAACTGCAACCCCGGACTTGTAAGGCCTCTGGCTTATAAGGCAAAAGCCACCTTCTGTGAAAGGCTCCTTGTGCTGTTTGAAAAGTAGAGTTCTGCATTTACAGTGGGTGCAATTTTGATCCTAGATCATTATCAATATAAAAAAGAGAAAATCAAAAACTTCTTTTAAGTCTCTTTTAGGATTGCAGTTCTAGGATTCTGAGAAGCACTCTTGTCTTTTAATGTTACTAGATCTTGGGGAATCTGCATGGAGCTCAATGGGACTTGTTACACATTTTAGGAGTTGTTACAGCCCCAGCATGGAGGTGTGTTTTGTTCTTACTGCTACTGCTGATAAATGGTCAGCTTTTAAAACATGAGATGTTGTTCTCCTCATACCTGGAGTCACATGTCAGCCCCTGGAAGGGGACTGTTTCAATCCCAAATAGTATGGATGCTTGTGCTGTGGAAACTGAGTGTGGGTCAAGAATTGGACATTCCTCTTCCACTCACTATGTGACCAGGAACTAATTGTCTAACCTCTCCATACCTTGAATTTCTCCTCTGTAAACCTGGGTGAAGTAAATGAGGTAGGATCGGCATAGTCTTGAGACAAGGTTGACTCCACTGTTACTCTCTTCTAAATGATCATGAGCTGTGGCAGATGTCTGTGGCCATTTTCAGGATAGCTACACATCAGCAGTCCCCACACAGACACTGACTCTGTAAACAGTGAATGTTCAATGAATAACACCACTGACCACCATCCTTTGAGCACTCACTGCGTGCCAGGCCCACTTTATATACATTGTGATTCGACCTGCTTAGCACCCCTGCAAGCAATATCCCCATTTTTGCAGAGCCAACCTTGGGTGACTTGCCCAAGGTTACACAGCTGGCACGTGGCAGAACCAGAACGTGAACTTGGCTTGATTGCCTGCTGAGGCCATCCATTTGTATGAAGTCCTCACTCTCACCAGTGTGTCTTCAGCCCCGCTCCCCCAATCTGAAGCCTCACGAGATACCAGAGCTTTTCATAAATGTAGCTCTTCACTCCAGATGGGGCTGGCTTGCCGGACTCTAATTAGTGGAAGTGGCTTAGCATTGACATTCTGGAACTCCAGGCAGCCTGGGTTTCGCTCTGGGGTCTGCAGTAGTCCTACAAGTGGGATTCCTGGCACCTTGACTTTGCCTCCCTGATTCAGGATCTGTATCTGCAGAACGGAAGTGACCTTAACCTGTTTCACAGGCTGGTGGTGAAAATGAAGGAGTTCATTCTGAGAAGAGCTGTGGCTCAGGCCTAGTGGAGAATAAGCCACAGCATTGAAAACGAGCACATCTCAACTCCTCCATCATTCCTCAAGCATTGTGCTCGAGGATATGAAATCTCCGTGTGGGTGTGTGTCATTATCTTGCCTGCATGACTCCTTCCCACCAGGCTCCTAGAATCCACATCTGGCCATAGCAGAGGTTTCATGGACTATTAGAATATTGTTTTTCTCTCCTCCATCAGGTATATACCGTTTGGCATGGACAGTTTCACAGCTAGAATTTATTTCCCGGTACTCAGAATTGCAGCTTAGGCTTTTCATTCCTTGTTCAAATACCAAATGCCCATTAGCCAAATATAGGTAGTGCTGTGTGACTAAAGGGTAAAAATGGTAGCATTTTACCTATACCTTTTGTTCCTTTTACAGCTTTAATCGCCTTGACTTACCTCCGTATGAAACCTTCGAAGATTTACGAGAGAAACTTCTCATGGCCGTGGAAAATGCTCAAGGATTTGAAGGAGTGGATTAAGGCCTCTTTCCTCAGGGCCAGTGACCATCCAGCAAGTTCCACGTGCTCTTTTGCATTTGCCTGACAGACTTTTGCAGAGCCGGTGACAGAGCACCGCTGTGCAGCATGGCTTCCGGAGCCCAGCCTCCACCCCTGCCATGCCCACCTTCAGACTCGGGAACCTGGTCCCAGCCGAATTCCCGCTCTTCACCACGAATTCTCAACTGGCTGATGTGTACACTAATTACATTTCAGGAAGACTTGTTCTATTTATGTTGTGCCTCTGCAGGCAAAGCCCTTAATAAATATTTTGCATACTTTCTAATGACAGTGAATGGAATTAATCACTCTACAGGTATAGTATTACAATTCATGTTTACTTTTTAAAATGATTTAGACTGATTTTCAGATTTTATTTCATTACAATTAAAGATGTCTCATGTACTTGGTAAAGTGAGCATATTTTTTTTGTATTTGAATTTCATACCAGGCTGAATGTCAATGACATTTTTATTTTTGAAGTATTCTGACACCCCACCCCTGTACTTTATTAGAAATCGAAATTAATTTTTGTTCAAAAACCTTCTACAGACAAGAACTTGGAGAGAATTTCAAATATAACGTTAGGCATAATGATAATTTTTCCATACTCAGAATGAAAATAAACTGGACGTTACTTTTTTTTGTACAAATTTAGGTAGTAGCTACAGGCCGAGAGAATTGTAACATAGCATGACATATTTGTGTTAACTTGAAAGGAATCACACCATTATTCCTTAGAAGTAATTACGTGTGCTATAACACATTTGAGACAGGGTTAGACTATCATTTCTCCTGAGAGAAATTGCTTAACCCTTCCTGTTGCTGTACAGTCACCCTTTTATTATATTTCCCCTTTTGCTGTTTGTAGTAGAAACATTTTGAATGAAACTCGGCACTGCTTGATTCAAAACTCCGGAAGCCAGATCCCTTCTGTCTCCTTTTTGTGTGTTCACTAATCGTAGCTAAATAACCAGTTCTTGCTCTCACTGCACCAATTCTGAAGGCACTTTATGTACCACATGGAGGTCATAACCTGGTTTTGTTTCTGTTCATTTTTTATCACAAACATTCAATGTGATGATTATTTCTTTTCTCTGCACACATCTTGCTGGTGCAATATCTATCAGTTGTGAATCTGGCTGCTGGTGTATAAAACCCTGAATGTAAAGCTGAGCCTACAGACCTGTCCTTTCCAACTGTTTCATGATTTCTACTCAATACAAGGATTTATTTAATAGACACTTAATCTAACCAACTTTTGTTACCTATGACCTGTTGCATGCTTCAATACCGTGTACTGCCTGAGTCGCATCTCTCGTAAGCTAGATTAAAAGTGAGAAAGAAGACTTGACTTGATCCACTGAGGTCATGCTGTGGTGGTGGAGGACTGAGGGTCTCTGTGGAGTTTGATTCTTTCTCACTTGTGCTGTCAAGTTCTGAGAAGATGCCTAAGACAGCGGGAGAGTTCAGCAACCCTCCTGTCCTGTTCAACTTGTGTTGTCCTAGACCCCATTGTGGCCAAGTTAGAAGACACTAGAGATTGGGTCTCTTGCCAGTCACAGATAAGACAGAAATTTGTGGTTGCAGAGTCTCTGTTGTGTAAGACCTTTGGTGTAAGAAATCAGTCATATTTGTGCAGTTCTGGCGGCATGTGAGAAACCATGGGCACTTATGATTGTAAATGAGTTGTCTGAGGGAATACAGAACCCTGATGTTCTGAAAGGTGACTTCTACAGAGCTGAGTATTGGTTTCCTTTTCATATTGATTTAAAAATATTTAGTAGTAATCAGAAAACTTTTGGTTTTTTGTACCAGAGATCAAACTCAGGACCTTGCGCTTGTGAGGCCACTGAGCTACATCCCTGGCCCTTAAGTAATTTTTTTTTTTTTTGTACCGAGGATCGAACTTGGGTCTTTATGCTTGCAGGGCAGGCGGCAGAACCACTGAGCTAAATCCCCAGCCCATAAGTAATTATTTTTAAAATGCTCATTATTGGGGGGTGGGGTGAGATTTTTTTAACCCCCTACAGTTAACACAACAAATGTCTCAGTGGCAAAAATCCTCTTTTTAAAAATTTTTTTGATAGCTTAAAATCAGTTATCTTTAAAAAAAAAAAATCATGGCAGAGTCTGAGGCAAGAAGTATACTTTGCTAGGGGCCGGGGATTTAGCTCAGTGGTTTCACTGCCTGCTGCGCAAGCGCAAGAACCGGAGTTCAATCCCCGTTACCAAAAAAAATGAAGTATACTTTGATAGTTTTTGAGAAAGACTGTGTAATTGTAGGAGGAGAAATCTGATTCTAGTATGATAACAGAGATTCTTCTGTCATTTTCTAAATTGTATGTTTTTTTAAAATCAGAATATTCTCTAAATGCAAATTAGACTTAATTGTTGAAAATACAAAAAGAAAAACTTCATATAATTTTTAAGTCAGAAACATACAAGAATTATCAAAGTATACCCTGATGAATACTTAAAATGGAGTAATTGTGAATGATGCCTCAGTTCATCTATCCCTTAACCTACCCTCTGATTTTAAAGAGAACTAAATATTGCTGGATTGGGGTTTAGTTTTTTGTTGTTTTTTTTCTTTAATCAACAGCTAATCCTCAGCAATTTACAAAGTTTCACTCTTTGCCTAGAATGGTTCTATATCTTCGTGTCGGTAAATTTTAATGCCACTCTTGGTCATTTTCATGACACAACTGCAGGTGGCAGAAGAGAAAATGCACTGCACAAGAAACAGGTTGCTGGGTCATACCTGGGTCCTCCCACTTTGGCAGCTTGGCCTGGGGCTGGAGGGCAATGCTGTCTGCCTACTTGTCCCAGCAACCAGGCTGCTCTGCACACCAAGGTCTCTGCTTCCTGTTATCTCCTGCCATGGAGATCACTAGAGCCCCATTGCTCTGGTTCCCTGCAGAAGCTTTAGTTGTCATAGGCCATTCACAGAAAGCCTAGTGAGAGCCAGTGCACACACTGTATGTGGAAGGGCTTGGAGGAATCACATGGCTGCTGTGTATTCTGGGGTGTTTCAGCTCTTGCCCCAGTTGGTCTGAGGGTAAATTTGGAAACTCTTCCCAACAGGATTAGTTCAGGCTATGTGCTGTTTTCTGCCTGCAGCCTCTGGAATGGGTGTTTGTTGATTCTATGATGTGTCGAGCTTCCCTTGTACACTTTCCTTTTTCACCTGAAACATTTACTTTTCTATAGCCAGTCCTCTGAAAAATTAAGAATGGGAGATACTTTTTTCTAAGGCCCTTTAGGAAATGACCTCAGGTATTTCCTAAATTCATATGGAAAATGATATAAAGCAATTTGACATGGATTATTCCTCCCATGTAGGGACCCAGTGGCAGATTCTGAGAAACAATTTGCAAAAATATTTGAACCACTTTCTGCACCTCAGCTTGTTGCATAGATAGCATGTACCATACCATTGTTTTTTGATCTTGCCAGGTCCCAGTTGGCTCTGTCAAAAGTTAAGTTCATAAGCAGTAACTTTCTAATTGTTGTAACAGTTACCAGTTGTTTTCCATTTGACTCCTATATTTTCCTAATAGTCTTGCATCTCACATCTGAGATTTTAAAGTCTACGCAGAGAGCCTGGGCTCATTAACTCTCCATCCCCTCCCCACTCTGTTGGCTCTTCTCTTTCTATCCTCTCCCCTCACCCTGACTCTTCACCCCTGTCACCAGGAGAGCAAGGGAGATGCTGTCTGGTGTCATTTCTCCCTTGCCAGTAGGGGTGCTCCTGACCCCCAGAGGATCATGCACTACTTCTGTCTTGTTCAGACATAGGGGTACATCGTAAGTCATGTCAAAACTGCCAATTTCAGGACTGAGATGTATTAAAAGACAAAAACGTATAGACTCCACTTTGTACTTTAGATTTTAAAACTGGGAAGAAAATGTGATATACTTTGGACCATTTTTTTAATTTATATAAGCCTTAATGAACAGTGTATATACACTTACATACGCACACTCCACCCCAGAGTATTTTCAGTGTGTCAGAGAAAATGCCATAGCATTAGGACTTAAGCTTGTGTTAATGTTTTCTAGGGAAAAGGTAGCTTTCTGTTGGTATGAAATTTTCCAAGGAAACCTCTCATTTGACATCTATCCTTTGTCAAAGATGTTACACCCAAAACAGTGCATGTTTAAAGTGCATGTCTCTTTGTTTTGTTTGTAAAGAGTAGCAGTAGGAATCTAAGGACATCACTGTTGGTGCCCGACCTCTAGTGTACTGTATTCTCCACCATGTATAAGTACATTGAAAGCATTTTTCATGACCATGGCTTTCACCAATAGATGTCCGTGTTCTTTTGTAAGCCCATGCCTTGTACTCAGACTAATTTCACCTAGATTGTCACAGTTACCTTCATGTTAACTTTGTGTGACTTTGTTCTTCCTTTACCGCTCTGTATGTAACATAAATACATATGTATGTACATATGCTGTCCAAATATATGTGTATGTATTTGTATAGCATTTTTACACCTCTGTGAGTAATCTGGTTTCAAAAGGGAGCGAGAGCTTTGTCCCTTCAACAGTTTTCTCCAAGCTATGTCCTGAGGATTCTCACCCTCAGAGCCTGAAAGAACCCTAGGAAGAAGATGTCCATTTGTTGTCATTTCTTAATTCAGGATCTGTTATCAAATGAAACATGAACAAAACAGTGACTTTTAAGGTGAAAAGAGTTTCAAGCATTCCAAATGAATTCTCAATGTTTTGTAACTTTTTATTATAAACTCACCTCCTAATACAAAGCCAAGTACTATTTGATACAATGGTCAAAACCTAACTACCTTGATGTTTTTTTAAGACAACTTACGGATAATGCTCATTTTCACAATCAGAATAGCTTTAAAATATGGTTGAATTTGATACACACAGGAAAAGTTTTGTTTAAGAACAAGTCTTTTTTTGCTTTTCTTTCTTCTTGAGAGATCTAAAGAAAATTTGTAGTTTGTTTTTCTGACAGCAAAAAAGTAATGTGACATAATGAAGTCATTGTAAAGAAGTGATGCAGCTTGTCAAGTATTTAATAAAGAAGTATGGAAGCTGGAACATTTTCTACATCAAGTATTATGGGTTGTCTGATTGAAAACTTCTTTCATGAGTTCATTGTCTTGTGTCAAAGAGACTTAAATGCCTGCAGATTTATAATGTGTTCATTTCCTTAATCTCAGCTGAAAGTTCTAGGCCCTTAGAAATAGCTTGCTTAAGCATAGAAACGGCTTAAGCATAAGAGGATACACGTTTTTCTTATCTGCCGACTTGTGTTTTTATTAAACTGTAGAATTACTAGTTTTATGTAACACCAGATAATCCATATTGGTCCATTCCTGGAAAAGCAGATTTTTCCCTCCAGTCCTTATCCACCCAGCCCTGAGCTTGTGAGAGAGTTCATGGGACTCAATAATGAAGCCACAGTGGTTCTCAAAATGGTGTTCAAAATCTTGACCTTATGTCATGTCCCTGTTAAAACTTGGTGGCATTTTTTTCTCTTGCCATATCATTCCGGTCAAATCGGCTCCTGGCAAATCTTTCCTTTTTCATTAGCACTGAACTTCTGCTCCATATCCTTAGCTCCATCCCCTCAGAGACTGCCAGCCAGTGATGACCCTGCAGGACACAATGTAATCAGTCCTGGCTTTCCCGTGGCCTTTTCCTTGAGCAGTTAATGATCTTGCCAGAAAGCTATCAGCAGCATCTAGAGCTCCTGCAATCTTGCCCAGGCTTACAAGGACATAACATGAGAGGTCCAGGTGGATAGAACCTCTCTTGGAATCCCATGTGTTCATGCTTAGAGACAAATACAAATGGTGAAAAGAATAAATGACATCATTTACACAAATGCTAGGTTCATAAGCTCTTCACCTACTCTGATGTTCAAGAGTGATGTGGGCACTTCCAAAATTTTAAAGCCTCTGATGTCAGCAGTGAACATGGGTGTCCCCAAATTCTAGGACTAGCTTTTCCAGGCTTAGCCCTGAGGAACAGTTTTCAAGGAAGTCCCACGGGTGAGAATCCGAAAACCACTTTCTGATCCCTTTGGTGCTCTCCCCTCTAAGGTATCACTTCCAAAACAATGGGTTTCCAGAGAGCTGGGGCTGAAGATTCTCTATAGGTTTTGCACTGGGCAGGGGGAAAAATTGAGCCTGAGTTTACTAAAATCTTAGGATAATCTCCTTCTTAAGTAGGTGGTAGAACTCAGCTGCAAACTGCTAGGACTGAGGGAAGTGAGAACAGAAATTCCCTGTTAGGAACTTTGTAATGCTAACCTCAGACAAGATTTGAAAAAAAGGTGGATTTGCTCCAAGCAGACTGTTGCTTCCTGCCCAGAACCTTTGCAGTTCCATTGCCGCTAAACTGCCGCAACCTTCCCTAGCCACCACCCTATGCTGCTGTTACACCTTCCCTTTCCCCTACAAATCCCAAGCTAGTCCTGGATACAGTCCCAGTGGGCTGCAAGTGACAGGTTGAGAGAGGGTAACCAGTGACAAGATAGGTGAAGAGTAGCTCCCACCTCCAGCAGGCCACCATTCTTTCCTGAGGCCTGCTGGGAACAATCCAAATGCCCCACCCAGGTGTGCCCAGCCCCGTCCTGTGCAGTTCTGAGCTGGCTGCTGTGCTGCCTCCTGGCGTCATGGAACAGAGGGGCTGGGAGAGCTGGAAGGGGACCATGTTTCCTCCCAAGCTTTGGCAATACCGCACCCTAATACTGAAGGTAAACCTTTTTTTCTCCCTGAGGACAAGGCTGAATTTGCCAGTTAGATGGAAAGGGGTGTCGGGGAATACAGTAAGCATGCTACCAAATGCACAGAGTAAAACAGTATTACTGAGTGATACTTAAGAGAGGTAAATGTGTGGCATAGCATGGCAGACCTTGGGTAACCTGGCAGAAGGGTGCCCTGGCAGCCAAATCTGTCCTTAAAGGCAAATTTGGGCAATTTCTCAGCAACACCTTTTCTTGGCAGTTTTAGATATAATTACTAGAATCAGGAAGTTTGCAGTCCTGGGTGGTTTTGTCCAAATCAAATGCCAGAGCAAGCCAAAAGTAAGATTGTGTACTGCAACATCCTGGGCTCAGCAAACGGATCATGTGATTACGGAATGTACGGTCCTAGAGGACCGGGTTTTCCAGTCCAGAAACCAGGATGTGCTCTAATTTGTGTCCTTAGAGACTTTTAGGGTAGTGTTGCCCTCCCAAATGCAGACCTGGAACAGCCACAATTGTGGGTGTTTCTCAAAACTAAAAAAGTAGGGGAAGGAGACAGCCCAACCAGCCCTGAACAGGACAACCATGTGCCCCAGGGCAAGGCAGGGTGTGGTTGGTTCTGTTGGAGGGAAGGGGCCAAGGATGCCCAAGGGCAGTGTTGGGTCAACTTGCTAGTACCCACCTTGGCAGCCTCTCAGCTCCAGGGCTCTAGAAGAGGGCGGTACAGGTACTTGGCACCAGAACCATTTATAGACCCCAAACCATCTCCGGGAGCACATCCAATTGGGAAACATCACAGCAGACATCTTCAGAAAATTGTCTCTGTTACAGGCCAAAGCCCATCAGCCTAAGTAACTCCCTTGCTCCCTCCAGTTTTCTCCTTTTCTCCTCCAAAGTTGGGAGAAGGACTCAAGTTGGAATGAAACCAAAAAAAAAAATGGGTAAAGAAGCTGTTTGTGGGAATGGGGGCTCCCCAGCATAGCACCTGCTGTGTGTGCTCTTCATTCCAGTCCTCTAGACAGCGAGCTATAGGATTTGGAGTTGCAGGGCACTGCCCAGAGGCCGAGACAAGCCTGTGCTATAGACAGCATGGAGCCCAGCACCCATTGACACTGATTTAGGTGGGCACACACATGGCACCTTCACTGCCCTGTCTGGTTTCCTTGCGTACCAGGCCCTGTTCCCAGGCAAGATAAAAGACATCAATAGTTGACTTTTTCAGTGTAATTTTGTCTCTTGGTTTAAAATTGTCTTTGGGGGTAAATATTCAGTCAATGTATAGATCAAATGCCCCATTGAGGCCCTTTTCCCGTAGAGGGGTCTGGTGAGTACTGGGCACAGGCAGGGTGTATTGTTTTCTCTGCAAGCCCTAGGGTATTGTTTTCTCTGTCCCCTGTGTGGGTTTCAGGTATGCCATGCCGCCCTCCAGGGATCTTGTGGCTGGCCTCACCTCAGCCTATGCCTAGGATGTTCACTGGAGCCTCACTCTGTACAGCCAGCCCTCTGCCCTGGTGCCAGCACCCACACTGGGCTCCTTGGCCTCTTCTGCATCTCCCAAGACCCTGCTGCTCTGTGCTGCTCCCCAGAACCTGCCAAAGCTCCCAATGGGACATGGGACACAAGGCTCTACTGCTCTCCCACCCCATGACACCAGGAACATAGAGGAGTGCTGCTCATTCTTTGATGATTCCCCCCCCTTGCCAAGGCCCAAGTTGGTGAGACACAGCAGTGCCCCTGTCCTGAGCTCAGACCCTTGTCCTCCCACTCTACAATGATTCCCTTCCAGTTTCTCTCTGCTGAGAATGCCCTTCAGATAGCAAAGCCTTTGGTGAAACTCGGTAACATAAACCAACTGGATTTAGCTCTTGATGTGGAAAGAAAAGATTTTAGAATGGACAAAAATTGCACATCCCTCAGCAAATCCTGGTGTTCAATGTCATTTATTTCCTCAGGACTAAAGATGGTCACTTTTGACTTCCAAAACACAGTAACTCCCCACCCCCAACACCTCTTAACAGTTTGTTAAGAAAATTTGCAAACAAAAGTTAAAAGGCTATACAGTGAATGCGCCTGTGCCCGCCACCAAGATGCCGCCCTATTCACATTAGCTTTACTCTGCTTGCCTTATCAAATAATCTGCCATCTCTCCACCCGAACCCCCTCCTAATTACTGAAATATTGCAAAATAGATTGCAGATTTCATGTACTAGTACTTCTGCATTCTTATCATTAGCTAAACTTTTATTCAGATTTTTTAAGTAAATTTTTTTTCATTAAGTTTATTTTTCATTAAGTTTTCATTAAGTTTACATTTTACGTATACAATACAGTGACATTCATCATTGGGAACTTGTACCTTTACATGAGTATCTTGGTTCTTATTTTTTCCCCATTCCCTTGCCCTTCCTTCAACCCTCCACCCCTCCCTATTTACAAAGACTTTGTTTCCATTTTTTCCTTTTCTCATATTTTTTCCTTTACACACAGACACCTATGTAGCCCAGATTACCATCCAAGTTCTTTTTTTCCCCCTCCAAGTCAATCCCCATATCTCAGAGCCATCCTGAATTTTTCTACCATATATAATTTTGCCTGTTCTACAGTTTCTTATGGAACCATGCAATTTGTTATAATGAATTTTTAAAATTCTACTTTGTATCTTTGCTACCTTGAAGCAATAAAAATTAAGTCGGTGGCTGGGAAGCCACAGGGCATTATGAATGGGAAAAAAATGTCCATTTAATATTCAAATAGTATCCCCACTTCACAGGTAATGAGATCTCCACTTCCCAATATATGTAATCACCTTGTGGGACGTTGAAGCCTTGATGGTTTGCATACCGTGATCACCTTGAACTTCCAGGTTGACCCCAGGTACATTTGGCAGCTGATGACCAGTGCCTGCAGCCTGCGGAGGATGTTTTGGGTTATTTTCTAGGTCCTTGGCTCTTGGCCCTTTCCTCCTACCTCACCCTTCCTCCTTGTGCAGGATCCTGAGAAGGAAAGAAAGCAACAGTAAGCGCAAGTTAAGCCCATAATAAGCAATTCCCAAATCACAGTGGCTTAGCAAAGGTGTATTTCCTACATTCCTTTGTGGGTTAGAAGAGGTTCTCTGCTCCATGCATTTCTTCAGGGACCCCAGCACCCTCCTTGATGGCCCCACAATCCCCTGAGACAGGATCCTCTGCCAACCACAAGCACAGGAGGAAGAAAACCCTGCCCACCTTCCCTAGCCAGAAGCCAGCCCCATGACCATACCACAGTCCTGAGGATGCTGGGAGATATCTACCTTAGCACCCACAGGAAAAGGGAAGGAGTCTGGGATCAACAGGACAAACTATGCCATTAAGAAAGATTTTATCTTCTTTGCAGAGTGAATTTCCCCTGAGGTGAGTAGCTGCATTTTGCCAAGCTTCTAGTGTCTTCATTTTGTTCTCTTATGATTCTACTACTACTTTTCATAAAACCTCAGCCTAAAGAGGCAGGTGTTTTTGGTGCCAATTTATATACAAGAAAGCAGACTGGGAGGTTCAGGGACCTGCAGAGTGTGCTCTGAACCCAGGCTGTCTGGCTCAGATGGACATTCAACCACTACCTCCACTTCCCCACCACCATCCCCTCCATCAGACTTCCTGAGGGAAGAGTCAGTAACCTCATTTATACCAAGATGTAAGTGACTGATAGGCTAAATACATGTTCCCTTCCAGAAATATTTTTAACAAGTGCCAGAGTTGATGCTCAAGTCAAAAGGAATAAAGTTCAATATTATGGCATTCAGATATCAGCAAAGTGAAGAGGGAAGTTTTTTTGAGGCCCTACTTCAGGAAGCTGAATCCATTGTGAATATGGGTGACCCCACACTGGGAAAACACAGTGACTTTGGCACCTAATGGGGAGCTGCATGCCCTCCTGGCTGCCCCAGGACAGAGCCCTCCCCACCCTCCAGCCTTCCCCTACCACAGAGCCAGGGCCTCAGATTTTCCAAGTCTCTGCCGGGGAAAGCACAGATGTCCCTTTGTCCAACAGAGCTGAAGGGCTGAAGGGACCAGAGGCCGAAAACTGGATTTTCCACTCCCAGGAATTCTTCAACAGGGGCCTGGGATGTTGTATTTTTAAAGGTTTTCTGTTTATTAAAAGGTTAAGGTAATAACATATTTAGTTTCATTTATGGCAGAAGTGTGAGACTGGAATTTATTGTTTGATTTCTAGTCCTTTAGCTCTGTGCTCAAGTCTAAGGCCTCTGCCCTGGGGTCTTCTACCTCTTCCTTACCACCTCCTGCCTGAACCCCAACCCCAGGACCCCTTGACTTCTCAGCAGTCTGTTTACTTAGAAGATCCTTGCTTATTCATCAGTGGAGATTATCAGGGGAACGTGCCATCCCCAACACGAGTATTTAAACAGCAGTCAGGCCTTTGAACCCCAGCTCCAGTTAAAAAGTAACAGGCTGGATCCTGAATCAATAGGAGACAAATATTAGCTCTGAAGGCCAAGAGACACAGCATTAGGAAATGCCCGATGCTGGCAACAAGAAAAGAGCAATGTCATACCCGACTGGGGTCCAGAAAGCTCTCAGACCCCCATGACCTCGGGCCAGCCCTCCTGCTTGACAAGTAGAATGTTGAAGCTAACGGGCCTTAGGTTGATTTTTAGAACTCCTGGCTCTAACCACTACAAGGTCCTCCTAATGGGTATCCACTCCACTTCCACCCATCCCAGCCATCCACATTGGGGTAGTCTGTTTCCAGAAAGCTCTAATCAGATCACTCTGGGGCCTGCTGGGAGTTCTTCCACTGCACTCCTGCCTGGTCTTCAAGCCATCTGTGACGTTACAATAGGACAGCAGATGTGGGGATCAGACCCAGAGCTGTTGCCAGTCCACGTCCTCCTCATAATTGCACAGTGTTTAGCCTTAGCGACCATTGCTTCTCAAAACTCTACCTTTGGTTTCCCTGGCTCTCTTGGTTATTCTCTCACTCCTGAAAAACTCCTATTAGTTTTTCTCCTCCCTTAAATGTAAATGTTCCAAGAAAAGTTGTTTAATGAGCTTTCTTCTCTCTCTGTCTCTCCTCCTCCTCCTCCTCTTCCTCCTTACTACCTCCATTTAAACAACTGCCAACCTCTGTCCAGACCCAGATCTCCAAAATCCTCATGGACACATTCACTGGGTATTTCTCAAGTCACTCAAACTCAAAATGGTCCCTTCTGAACTCCTACTCCTTTCAAATGGCTTCTTCTCTGTGTTTCCACATTTCTGGAAGTCCTGCCCTTGTGTCCAGGCACCCATACTGAAACTCCATCTCCGACCCTTCACATGATTGTGGTACCTGAGTGGAAAGAGAGACAAGGCACAGTTTTCTCTTCGTGTGTTTTTTCATTCACAAAATAAATTCATATTAAGTACCTCCCACATGCCATACCTGACTTACATGTAGGAGCCAGGAATACAGCAATTAAGACAGAGCCAAGCAAAGACCCTTTCCATTGTGAAACATATATTCTCTCAAAAGCAAACAAGGAATAGACATATAAATAAGTACAACATGTGTTATATTAAATATGGATGAAGTCAAGGCGGGAGAAAGCAAAGCAAACGCTGGATGGCTGAGGTAGGAGAATTTTAGTTCAAATCCAGACTGGGAAACTTAGCAACTTAGTGAGACCTTGTCTCAAAATAAAAATTTTAAAAGGGGCTGAGGCTGTAGCTCAGCATGAAAGCCCTGGGTTCAGTTCCCAGGACCAAATAAAAAAGAAAGAAGAAAAGTTTCAGGCAATATGGGAAGTGTGATTTTTTATTTATTTATTT